CCTGCACTCGACCTGACCTTGCCTACCCTCTTAGCATCCTGGCACGCTACGATTCGCCCGGGAGACACCGACCAGAGCACTGGGAGGCTGCTAAGAGGGTGTTGCACTACTTGTGAAGTACATCGGGCATGGGGCTCGTGCTTGGAGGACGGGGTCCAGTTGTCCTCACTGGACACGCTGACGCTTCTTGGGTTGACGACTTGGCTACGCAGCGGTCGTCACAGGGTCCAGTTGTCCTCAGCCTTGGCTGTTTCCTGGCGGTCTACCCGCTCGTCCTCAGTTCTCAGTTCCAGTTGTGAGGCTGAGATCTACGCAGGGGCCATGGCTGCACAGGAGTTACCCTGGCTCACCTACCTGTTGATTGACTTGAGAGAGCGGCCTCGTTCTTCTCCAGTTCTGTACGTAGACAACAAGGCCATGATTGCCTTGTGTCAGGAGCACGGACTGGAGCACAGAACGAAGCACATCGCTCTGCGTTACTTCCTTGCTCGAGAGTTGCAGCAGCGTGGTCAGCTTCGTCTTGCGTACGTGGCCACTCGGGCCAACACTGCTGATATATTCACCAAGGCACTTCAGCATGGTGATCATCAGCGTTTCTGCACTGTTTTAGGCCTTGTGCCTACTTTGCCTCACTTACTGTGTGACTTTGCTTGTACAGTGATCTATATATATATACCTGCATGCTTACACTTGCTAGGTTATGATCACTGTACTGTTTGTTCTCTTTTATATAACTCTGCATGTGAACTGGCCTTGTGGCCATTTGCTCGTGCTCAGAATGTGTGGTGACTTCGTGATCCACCCTGAGCTTGATTTGTTCTTCTTGACTGGTCTCGTGACCACTTGTTCTCCTCCATTTTGCCTATGGGGGCGTGTCAAAATGTTATAATGCTTATATTGTCTAGGCTATAGTGGGGTAGCTTATAAAGGGTACAACCCAATTAGGGTTAGTACTTGTACCAGCTTTCTGCTCAATGCATTCATCCTCGTTCACTTTCTTGACAGCAGGAACCATAGCAGCCAAAGGCAAAGGCGCAGCACAAACAGATGACAGGCAAGCATATCTCTATGAATTTCCCCCACTGAGAACACTATTCCTGTGTTATTTACCGTCATACCCCGGATATAAGCGCCACCCGCGGATAAGCGCCTGGTGCTTTTAATTGGCGTGTGGCGCTTATATCCGGTGCTCGATTATAAGCGCATACCTAAAAGGCTTACGGATTATAACCGCATACCTGTGCCTTACATTTTATAACCGCCACCCAGTTCTTTTCTTTTTTTTTCATTTGAAGACATTTTACATAATTAGTACGTATACTAAAACATCATGTTAATTACTCTACAACTAGTTAATCTACTCCTACCTACGAGCCTCACACAGGCTTCACCATTTTCTACACTAGTTAATCTACCCTACTCTAATCATCAGCTGCAGTGGGGTCATCTGGGTCGGCCTCAGAGTCCGACTCAGGTTCCTCTACGTTGTTGCAGAAGAAACCGTGTGCTGCAATTTCATCATCCATGTCGACCTCCTCGCCCTCGAGCTCGTCTCGCCTGTGTTGCAGGCAGAGCTTGTCCTGGGACCCATCCAGGGCGTTGCTGATGCCGCAGGTGAGGAACGCCCGTTGAATGAGTTCCTTGGGCACGGACTTCCAGGCCGCCGAGATCCACTTGAGCGTCAGCTCGACAGGAGGCTTCTTGATGTTGCCTGCCACGCAAATCCAGAAACCGGGTCAGCACGGGTTAAAGAAATACCGTAAAAAGATAAACTGAAGAGCTGCACCTCACCTTTCTTCGTCAAGGTGTCGACCCCCTCACGCTCAAACCACTCCTGGTAGAGCTGGCGAACGGCGGCCTTGAAGGAGCGGTTAACCGCGATGTCGAGGGGTTGAATCTCCGAGGTGCAGCCAGCAGGGATAACCGCAGGGACCAGGTTCAGCTCGCCAAACTTCTTCTTCACCTCGGGGGTCAGGTGTCCGCGGTACGAATCGAGGACGAGCAGAGCTTTGCGGGGGCCGACTCCGAACTTGGGGTTGATGTACGGCTTCACCGCCCCGTCCAGCCACTCGATGACACCGTCCGCGTCCATCCACCCGTTGGGATGGACCCCCACGTGGAAATCTGCACAGCAACAAAACCACGATGTTAGTTAAAATTTTTAACTGACATCGACATGCCACCGCGTAATCGACGTGTGGTGCATACCTGAAGGGAAATCTCCTTTGGGGACGGTCTTCCTTTTGAAGAAGACCCAAGGCTTCAACTTCTCCCCGCTGGCGGTGCAGGCGAGCATCACTGTAACCCGCTCTTTCTGGTAGCCGCCGCTGCGGACGGGCACGGAGCGCGAGCCAACCTCGTCAACGGTGCGTTCGGATGGCATCTCGAGCCAGAGGGGCGTCTGGTCCGCGTTTAGAATCCACGGCAGGTCGATCTTGTACTGCCGGCGGGAGTGACGCACGTACGTCCAGAAGTTCTTGACATCAGTCTCGCAGTCTGGGACACGGGATGGGAGGAACAGAAAGCACAAACACAGAGTGAGAGCCGTGAATAGACGAGAACAGACAAAAAACAATACCACCAAATAACAACTCACTGGACGAGAGCTTCTGGCCGACCCGGGTCTTTGCTCTGGTCGTCAGGTTCCAGCGGCGGCGAAAGCGCTGAGTCCACCGCTGAGAGCCGGCCCACCTTTCACCTGGGTGTAACTCTTTCATCACCTCGTGCGACCACTTCTGCAGTCGTGCGATCGAGACGGCGAGGCACTTCTTGCGGTGGGCGAGAAACCTCCGGTACACCTCCGCTTCCATGTCGCGATACCACGAGCTCCTTCCGCGGCCGTGCAGGCGACAGCGTGCACCGTGCGCGGCCTCAAGCTCACCCTTGCGGCTCTTCCACTCCGTGAGGCACCTTCGGGAGATGCCGGATTCGCGAGACATGCGCCGCACACTCATCTTTCCGGCTTCGAGCTTCAGAATCCATTGCAGCTTCTCATGCGAGGTGTAGGAATTGCGCCTGTGCTTTGTCGGCTTGTGCCTGGGGGAGGGAGGACGGGCATCACGATTATCGCGAGATGGGTGGGGCCTTTTTTTATTCGGAGGGGGAAAGGAGGGAATTGGAAGGTGCTCGGGGAGACCGTCAGCAGCCCAGAACTCCACGTCGTCGTCCGCACCGGTAGCGGATTCGTCCAACGGGCAATCAGCCGGCGCTCCCCATCGTGGCTCCGGTGCGGAGGAAGATCCTTCGCCGCCGCTGTGTTCAGGCTCGGACAGGAAGGCGTCGAACGCCGAGAAGCCAGGGGGGAGGAGAAGCTGCAGAACCCCTTGTCGTGGAACACCAACAGAAGTCGGGACGGGAGGGGCCGGAGGAACGGGAGGAATAGGAGACGCCGGGGGAGCGGGAGGGGTAGGAGGCGTAGGAGGCGTGGGAGGAACGGGAGGCACTACTGGTTGTGGTGGATGGACGGGCGCAGGGCGCGTCTGCCATTGAGAGGAGTCACGAGTGTCTCTGCGGGTATTTTCTCTAGCAGCAGGTTGGCGGCGGAACAAGAAATGCGTGCCTGGAAGGCCCGCCATGGCCACGGCAGGCCAAACGAACGAAGAAATCTGAAGAAAAAGTTGGGAATGAGGGCCGTATGAAGCCCTCGCCCGAGACCCCTTCAGTTTCGCGGCCCGGCCTCCTCTGCGGGGAAAGTGTGGCCACAGCCAAGATTCCCCGCAGAGGAGCTGAAAGAGACAGCTCCTTGCCTCGGTGGCAAGGGAATCTTGCTGTTGATGGGCACGTCGTGGCTGAACCACGACGTGCCCACGATCGCATGCAACCCTGATTGGGCCGCTGTGATGCGAAGTACGTGTGCCCTGGCATGGGCCAGGTTCACGTTCGATGAACCTGGCCTGGCCAACAAGGCGTGGAAGGCGTGATGCCACGCCTTGTTGGCCGTTTCACGCGCAAAGCATGCACAGAGTCGAACGTTCTCGACTCAGGTGAATCCGCCTTTGAGAATGCTTCGATTTGGTATATTTAAAAACAAAATTCTTTTTTGACATAACATAAACGCCGGCGCTTATAATTTTACTATATTATAAGCCCACCCCCTAAAAAAAACATGTTTTATTAGTGCCCCCCATGGGGGTATATCCGGGGTATGACGGTACCATGTGTTCCAAAAGCATAGAGTAAAAACAGATCCAGCCTGCTCCAGCATCCCTCATTGCGTTTCCTCTTCTGCTATATCGGCTGCTGCAGTGGCTGCCGCTGTGGCTGCTGGGGGTGTCTGTGTGGCTGTTTCAGTGGCTGCTGAAGGTGTCTGTAGCAGCTACTGCCCCTATTCTGATGTAGCGGCTGCAGTGAAAACTGCTGTCGGTCTCCTGTAGAGGCTGCAGCAGCTGCTACTGTTGGGGAGTCTGGGAAATATACGAGGTGATCGATTGGTTCAAACAACGGCTTGAAGAGGATCTTGGGCTGGTGCAGAGTGTTGATGAGAGGTCGCGGGGGGTTCATTGGCGTAAGACGATGGGGATGGCAGGAAGCTAAAAATTTGTGAAACGAGACAAAAAGAGATAGCATGAAGTGAACACGAGGTGACAATAGGGTGGCAAGGGGGTGACAAGAGGTGACGATCGGATGACACGAGATGGCACGCGGGCGGCAAAAGCTGTCCAGTGTGGTGAAAGCTGAGTGTTGGGGAGACAAGCACGTGAACATGGCAGCAAGGTGGGCAACACAAGGAAGCAGCTTCAGGACCAGGACCTGCAGTGTTGATCAAAGGTAGAAAAGACGGCAACAAGACATCGCATCGCATCACAGTGGACGGCAATCTAGATATGGAGAATTAACTTTCGAGATGTCTCAAAAGTCGGCAACAAGGCATCGCATCGCATCACAGTGAACGGCAATCTAGATATGGAGAATTCAGCGGCACCTTGTGTAGGTAACAGCTTAAGAGGCAACCTAAGTGGCAAGTGTCCAACCCCGTTTTCCCACTGTCGCTTACCTAAGTGTCAGTACTTCGGTCGCTTCATGGGCCCTCCAGACCCTGACCCCATGGGCCTCTTCCCCATAGGCGGAGGGGGACCCCTCCCACTCCCCCCTTTCCCCATCGGCCTCCCTCCACTCCCTCCACCTCCCCCTCCTCCTCCCCCTGGCCTCCCCCCGCTGCCTCCCCCCATCGGCCTCCCCCCTCCCCCTCCGGATTTCCCCACAGGCCCCTTCCCCATCGGCCTCCCCTCCGGTCGCCCACTCCACCCCCCCTTCCCCGCACTTCCTCCCCCTCCCCCTCCCCCTCCTCGCGAATCCCCCGGCCTCCCCCCTCCACCGCTCCCCCCTCCTCCCCCCCCACCCCCTCCCCCTCCCTTCCTCCTCCTCCTCCGCTCCCCCTCACTGTCACTCTCCTCCCCCTTCTCCCGATCCTCCCTTAAAGCCTTCGCCTCAAGCTCATCCCACGTCGGCCCCTCCTCCTCCTCCTCTTCCTCCTCCTCCCCTTCTTCCTCCTCACTATCCACCACACTCTCATCATCCTCGCTCTCGTCATCGTCATCGTCGGATGCAGCCTCCTCCAGATCCGACGGCTCGTACGCCTGCGATTCCTCCGACTCCTCCCCTTCGCTATCTGACGCCTCCAAATTCAGAAACTCCCACCCGCCGTCTGCTAGAAAAGCCTCGGGATCGCTCATAATATTCTGCAGGATAGCCTTCCAGCTGAGATTCAGCCGCGACTCATAGTACTTGATATTCATCGAATTCAGCCATTCTTTCACCGAGTCGAGAGAAGTGCTCGGGATCGCATCAATCCGCAGAAAATCCCGCTTGAAATCCTTGAAAACAATCGCCATGTCGAATGTTTTCTGCCCGAGACCCACGCGCTCCAGATTCACAATCTCGACCTCGTTCAGAGTGACCACCAGGAAGGGCACTTCTATAAGTTCCACGAGGCAGTTCACCGTCGGTACGATGAATGCGGACGACTTGTGCGGGACGCCATGAAACCCTAATTCCCGGAACGGCACGTCGAATTCGAGGTCGAGACGAGCGAGCTCGCGGTCCTTCTCCCAGAGAGAATGCACTGCGCTGACAAAGGATTTAAATTCCCGGTTGATCTTGCTCCGCCGCTCCCGCTCCCTCTGCTCCTCCTCGATTTCGTCCGGGTCGTAAGCCGAGCGGCGCGAGCCGCCCACCGTTTGAACCACCTCCATGACCTCGGCAAAAAACTGCACGTCTTTTGTCTTTTTCTTGCCGACCATGATGGGGTTGTGCAGGTGGAAGTGCAGCAGTGTGATCATCTCGTTTTCAGCCGGCTGGAAGAAGGCATGCTTGATGTTGCCATACATCACCTCCATCCTCTCGTCCGGCTGGTGAGGGGAGGAAAGAGGGAACCGGACAGAGATGGAGAGATAACAGGGAGAGGAAACAAGAATTTGATTGAAGGCGTGCTTTATGTTGCCGTACATCACTTCCTACCCCACCAAACGAGGGGCGGATTCAGAGGTCCGGCAGGCGGCAGGCGTGGCAGGTGCCGGGCGGCCCTTGCTGAGCTGGAGATTGATGCGCCTCCTGCAACTTTTTCAGCGCCCTTAAGACCTTCCCATCAGACAACCTCATGCCACCTCATGCCACCTCATGCCACCTCATGCCACCTCATGCCACCTCATGCCACCTCATGCCACCACATGACACCACATGACACCAAAAACCACCCACGGCACAACCCACCTTAGCAGTGGAATACCGGAACCCGTTCAGATGCGCTTCTAGTGATCCAGTGAGTTTGCGCCCCTTTCCGCCGAACGAGGGGCGGATCCAGAGGTTGGGCAGGCGGGGAGGGCGGCCCTTGCTGAGCTCAGCTTGATGCACATGCCCAGCTCCAGCAACCTTTTCAGCGCCTTAAGAACCTTCTTATCACAGAACCGCATGCCACCACATGCCACCGCACACCACCCACCACACACGACCCACCGCACACCACCCACTGCACAACCCACCTTGGCAGTGGAATACCGGAACCCATTCAAATGAGCCTCCAGCGACCCGGTGAGCTTGCGGCCCTTCCCTCCGAAGGAAGGTCGGATCCAGAGGTCGGGCAGGCGCGGCGGGCGGCCCTTGCTGAGCTGGAGCTTCTCCTGCGTGACAAGTGTCGCTCTCTCAGCACGCTCCGACTCCCGCTGCCGCACGTGCTTGCTCATCGTCTTTATCAGTTGCACCACCTGGTGGAAGAGGGTAGAGGAGGGGGATGGGGAGGGGATAGAGGCGGGGGTAGGGGAGGGGTACGAGGAGGGCGAGGGGAGGGTGGTTGACAGAAACAATTCAAGGGCACATGTTTGCTCATCGTCTTCATCAGCTGCACCACCTGGAAGAGGAAGAGGATGAAGAAAGAATTTGATACATGGGGTAGGGGAGGGTAGGAGGCGATTTAGGGACACGAGCGATACGTGTTATCTGATTAGCGTGCCTGGAGTCCGTGGATTTGAAAGACAATCTTTAAGAGCATTGCTATCTGGGAAATTCTGCATGGGCAGGTCCGCAGTTTTGAAGCCGGCACGGCACCTCTTCCCACAAGCACCTCCCTCAGCATGAGCGCATGCTAACCTGATGAATGGAATGTGCTCACCTGATTAGCATGCCGTGAGTCCGTGGACTTGAACGAGAGCTCCTTGATGAAAATGCTGTCAGGGAACTTCTGCATGGGCAGGTCGGCAGCACTGAAGCCCGCCCCGGGCACGTTGAATATGATGCGGATGTAGATGTGCCCTCCGTCCTGCTGGCTGGTCACGTTGCGGATCATGCACACGTGAAACGGCACCAGGAGGCCGTATATGGGGAGGAGGACGGACTCGTGGCGTTGATCCACCTGTAAACAGGAAGGTGATGGAGGGAAAGAAAGGATAGATGGAGCGAGAGAGGGAGGGCAGAAGCACGTGAGTGAGTCAGCCGTCCTGCTGCTGGCTCGTCACGTTGCGAATCATGCACACGTGAAACGGCACGAGCAGCCCGTATATGGGCAGTAGGACGGACTCGTGGCGCTGGTCCCCATGGGTGAGAAGGAGGGAGAAGGGGAGAGCGGTAAGAATGGGTGATTGGGCGAAAACAGAGAGGTCTGCATGCAGGTGAGACGGCACGAGGAGGCCGTAGCCAGAGGGACCACATCAATATCACCAAACAACACTAGATCACTCCATTGATTAACCCACTGTTCCTCTACAACAACAACATAAAAAAAAAAACAAAAACAAAGAGGAGGAAAAAATCCACCCCCCTTCGTCCTCCACCCATTTCCCCGTCCCAACATCTTCCCCACCCTCCCCAAATTCCCTCCACCGCCTCCTACCTGAATCTTGTAATCCCCCGTCTGCCGCTTCGCCCCCTCGCCCTCGCGCGTGCCCAGCCCCCCAGCAGCCAGCAGCCAGCAGCCGGGCCGTCTCTTCGATCTTCTGCTTCGCCAGCTCCGCCTGGCCGTCTCTTCGATCTTCTGCTTCGCCAGCTCCGCCTGGCCGTCTGTCACTGTCTGTCCCCCCCACCACCCACCCACCAGCTCCACCTGGTGTTGCCGCCTTCATCGCAGAGGAATCTCCTCCCCATGCTCACACATGGACCACACAAGCCCAACCCCCCCAACCGCCTCCTACCTGGATCTTATAGTCCTTCATCGCGAGAGGAATCTCGTGCACATCGCCGTACCACACCAAGTCTCCCGTCTGCTGGTCACTCCACACACATGAACTGAGCAAGCCCATCCCACCCACCTGGATCTTGTAGTCCTTCATCGCGAGAGGAATCTCATCCACGTCCCCATAGGAGACCAAATCCCCCGTCTGCCTCTTGGCCCCCTCGCCCTCGCGAGCGCCCAGCCCCCCAGCAGCCAGGCGCCGCGCCGTCTCTTCAATCTTCTGCTTCGCCAGCTCCGCCTGGTGCTGCCGCCGCAGCTCCTCCTTTGTGGCTTCTTGATTCTCCGATCGCAGGTGCGCACGGGCGAACACAGCGGGTTCCCCTGCCCCTGCTGCCTCTGCTGGTCGCTTGCCCTTATCCATGTCCTCCTCTTCCTCATCTTCCCCCTGGTACGTTGGGAATGGGGGACAGGGAAGGTGAGGGGAAAATGAGGCGCTGGGTGGTCTCTTCGATCTTCTGCTTCGCCAGCTCTGCCTGGTGCTGCCGCCGCAGCTCCTCCTTTGTTGCCTCCTGGTTCTCCGACTGCAGGTGCGCACGAGCGAACACAGCAGGTTCCCCTGCCCCTGCTGCCTCTGCTGGCCGCTTGCCCTTATCCGTGTCCTCCTCCTCCTCGTCTTCCCCCTGGCAGATAAGTCAAAAGGAGTACGGAGAGGGAGCGATCAGACAAGCAATGGAAGGCAGCAGAAAACTTGGCTTGGAGGCAGTGGCAGTGGCAGTGGCAGTGGTGACATCCACCCAGCGGTGTGTAATCCCACACAACTCAAACAACACACACCCTGCTCACCCCGCGGGAGTGAGGTGAGGACAGCCTCCACTCCACATACCCCACCCACCTTGAGGGAGTATGAGGCCGAGGTCCCCGTATCCGCCACACGCGGCGCGTCTTTTGAGACGTCTCAAGAGGCTGAGGTCCCCGTATCCGCCACACGCGGCGCGGCGCGTACCTCCTCAGCTTCCCCTTTCCCCCCTTCCCTCTTTCCGCTCCCCTTGACCCCACACCGTGCCTACCTTGAGGGAATACGGCAAGCCCCCACACACCGTGCACTCTCCCTCCTCGAGCAACTCTCCCTACCTTGAGCGAATAAGCCACGTCAGCAAAGGACTTGGAAGAAAAAGCAGTAGCAACATCGACCCAGCGGTCCTTGTCAGCCCCCACTCCCCCTTGACCCTACAGTGCCCACCTTAAAACCCCAGTCCCCCCACCACCCCACACACACCGCCCACCTTGAGCGAATAAGCCACGTCAGCAAATGATTTCGAAGCAGAGGCAGTGGCAACGTCCACCCAGCGGTCCTTGTCAGCAGCGCTCCTCACCGCCACCGTATCCGCCACCAGTAGCGCATACTTCCTCAGCTTCGCACTACCCCCCTTCCCCTCCTTGCCCCCATCCTTCCCCCCCTCCTTGCCTCCCGCACCCTCTGCGTTTCCGTTCGCCTCGGCCCCCTCCTCCCCTCCCCCAGCCTCTGGGTTGGTGAGGCCGTGCAAGCCCAGCACCATATTAAACGCCATGCCGGATTTCACCGTCCGCTCGTTCTTGGCGTTCAGTGTGAGACCGGCCTCTCGAAACTCTGGGGAGAGGAGGGGAAAGGAGGGGGAGGAGAGGAGGGAAAAGGACGGGGAGGAGAGGAGGGAAACAATGCCACACTCGAAACCTGGGTTGGTGAGACACCAGCTGCAGGACAGCACAGGGAAGCAGAGGGTAGCATTTTGAATTCCACACTCAAAACGATGCCTATTCCTCAACCGTTTCACACTTATGTCTACCCCTGAAACCCTCTCTCACTCGTGCATGCCTATCCCTGCACCCCTCCTCTCACCGATGCCTATGCCAGTGCCGGCGTGTTTGGTGAGATGAGGCACCAGCTCTGGCGCTTCCCTCTCCACCACCGCCACTGCAGCTCTATACACATCCCCCAGCCGTACCCCCGGCTTGATCGCTGCAATCGCTGCTTCCTGTGCCCTCAGCAATACCTGGTGATGCGGTGGGAGGTAAAAAAAAAAGGGGGGGGGGGGGGGGGGGGGGGGGGGCGGGGGGAGAGAGAGGAGAGAGGGGGGGAGGAAAACAACAAGAATATGAATCGTGTAAGGATTTGAAAATGAGGTGTTGACACCAAAATAGAGTGAATAAAATAAATATATGGAATGAGAATTGACCAGGTTCCGGAATAATCTTCACGAAACGTTTTGAGATCAGCATTATACAAAACCCCAGCCCTCCACATCCCTCCTGTGTAGCCCTTCCCAGGCCTTCTCAAGCACTCCTCTCACCCTCCACCCTCCCCTCACCTGGTACGCTTTCTCCTGTGCCTTGATAGCATCAATCAGGTAGGTGTGCGCCACATTGGAGCAGTAGGAGGCGTATCTGGCACCGATGGCACAGATGACGGCACAAATTCAACCACTCCCCCTTTCTCCCCTCACCTGGTACGCCTCTCACCTGGTACGCCTTCTCCTGTGCCTTGGTGGCGTCTATGAGGTAGGTGCGCGCCACATTGGAGCAGTAGGAGGCGTATCTGGCACCGATGGCACAGATGATGACGCCCATGGAATCGTAGCAGAGAGGGTCGTCGCTGCTCACTGCTGACGCTCGCAAGTCATATTGCCCTCCACTCTGCCAAGGGAAAAACATTGGGGAGGGATGGGGGTGGGCGGAAGAGAGGGGAAGGGTGAGATAGGATGGTGCAGATAATGACGCCCATGGAGTAGTGACACAAATGAATTGTCACTGCTCACTGCTGACGCCCTCAGGTCGTACTGGTCCCCGCTCTGAACAAGAGAACACAGGGGAGGGGTGAAGGGAAGAGGAAGGGATGGAGAGAGGTGATGGCGCAGATGATGACGCCCATGAAGTCATAACACAGCGGGTCGTCGCTGCTCACTGCTGACGCCCTCAGGTCGTACTGCCCTCCGCTCTGAACGGCGAGGGGTTTGTGGAGGTGTGGACGGAGTGAGACGGGAGGGATGCAAGGAGAGAAGGGGTGGAGAGAGGGGATGGAGAGGGGATGGAGAGGAGCGATGGAGAGGAGGAAAGGAAAGGTGGGATGGAGAGGTGGGTGGGATGGTGGGACGGAGATGGTAGAATAGAAGAAGACTACAAAAGTGACAAACATCAGGCGGATCACAGCAGAAAAAATGTGCCGTCACAGTTAACTTACCTGCAAGACGGGGGGAGTGCAGACATGGCAGTTACCTGGAAGACAGGTGTTACGCACCTGGAAGACGGGCGGGTAGAAGATGTACCTGGAAGACGGGCGGGTAGCAGATGTACCTGGAAGACGGGCGGGTAGAAGATGTACCTGGAAGACGGGCGGGTAGAAGATGTACCTGGAAGACGGGCGGGTAGCAGATGTACCTGGAAGACGGGCGGGTAGCAGATGTACCTGGAAGACGGGCGGGTAGCAGATGTACCTGGAAGACGGGCGGGTAGCAGATGTACCTGGAAGACGGGCGGGTAGCAGATGTCGCAGTTGTCGGGTTTGAGCTTGACTTTGATCTTGGCGGGGTCGGTGATGACCTCCTCTGTCTGCTCCATCAGCTCCGCGTGCGTCATGCTGCGCTCCTCGTCTATCAGCACCTCCATCTTCGGCACCACGAACGCCTGGGGGAGGGAGGAAAAACACGAGGGGAAGGGCGGGGGAGGAGGAATGGAGAAGCATGAGGGGAGGCAAGGCAAGTGCGTCATGCTGCACTCCTCGTCTCACAACACCTCCATCTCGGGTACCACGAACGCCTGGGGGAGGGAGGAAAAACACGAGGGGAAGGGCGGGGAAGGAGGAATGGAGAAGCATGAGGGGAGGCAAGGCAAGTGCGTCATGCTGCGCTCCTCGTCTCTCAACACCTCCATCTTGGGTACCACGAACGCCTGAGGTTGAGGGGAAGGAAAGGGCGGAAGCGACGGGCAGGGCGGGGAAAGGGGAATGGAGAAGCATGAGGGGAGGCAAGTGCGTCATGCTGCACTCCTCGTCTATCAACCCCTCCATCTTCGGCACCACGAACGCCTGGGGGCGGGGGGGAGAGAGATGAGTGGGGAGAGGAAACGGGGGGCGAAATGAGGAGAGGGAGAGGAAGGGAAGGGAAGGGATGTGCAGCATTCCTCGTTCATCTCATCAGTACCTCCATCTTCAGCACCACGAAAGCAAAAACGAAGGAAGGAGAGGCGACTACATCCCGCCTTTCATCCAAACCCACCCCTCCCCACCCACCCCATCCCACCCCACCCAAACCTACTCCACCCCATCCCACCCCATCACACCTTGAGTGCCTGCGCGCTAAGAAACGCGGCCTTCTTGATATTAATCACCTCGCCCTCATCCTTAACCGCCAGCACATCCCCCAGCGCCGGCCCCACATCCACCGTCTCCAACCCCTCTCCACCACTCTCCCCACCCTCGCCCCCACCCGCTGCTGCCTCCACTGCCGCCGCCCATTTCTCCATGATCGCCCCCTCTGGAGCCTCCTTTGCCAGCACGCCCAGCCTCACTGGACCTCCGCCTGCCGAACTTGCGCCGGAGGCTCGGATGGCGTCGATGACCTGCGCCATCTGGGAGGACCCGTCCTCGCTGCGAGGCTTGGGGTGCAGCACCATCTCCACTCCGCCTGGCGGGGGGGGAGGGGGTGCGGGAGAAGGGGAGCGGACGGGGGGAGAGGGGGAGGGGGGAAGAGGGGGAGCGGGGGGAGGAGGGCGAGGAGGGGGAGAGGCCACTTGGGGCGGAGTGCTACAGGTTGTCCTCGCTGCGATGCTTGGGGTGGAGCACCATCACCTCGCCTGGCGCGGGGGGAGGGGTTGGGGAAGAGAAAAGAGGAGAGCTGGAGAGAGGAGAAGGGTAGCTGATGGTGGAAAACTCCGTTCCCTGGCCTCGCCTCCGCGTCTGATGAGACAAACATTGAAATCGACTACTGCCTGGTCACTTAAGGTGGCAGGTCACTTAAGGTGGCCGGTCACTTCAGGTGTACATACATACTCCATCGTCTGCCCTCACCCCCGGATACCGGGTTTCCCCCTCTCCCATCCAATCCCCCTCCCCGCCTCACACCCTTCCCCCTGTGTCCAGATTCGCAGCATCCGAACGGCTAACGCATCTCCCCTTGTCTCTCGGACTGATCCCTGGCAATCTCTCCGCTCGTACCGGATTTCTCCGTGCACACGCGCCTGACGGCCTCCAGATGCTGCGCCTTCTTCTGGCTGCACACCACATGCACCGCTCCGCCGCTTCCGCCGCCTTCCCCGCCGGCTCCGCCGCCCAGCAGAAACACCATGACGGTCTCGGGGAATTCGTAACCCAGTAACCAGATCTGCAGCGCCGACGACTTGAGGTATCGCATGTCCTCGCTCGCTGGGGGAGTCGCAACGGCGAACGCGCTCGTGTTACCCCACGAACGGCTTTCGTCCTTTCGCCAGCTGTCGTAGAGAAGCTTCAGGCGGCGACCGAACGTGTCCAGATCGAGCTGTAGCCCGCTTCCGCCGCCGCCGCCGCCGCCTCCGGAGGGTTTGGAATCTCCCATCCCGACCGTCTACGTACTTTTATTAAGATAATTGGGTGGCTAAATATAAATTCTCAGATATTCCGCTATCACAGTGGGAATTAAGGGTAGTATGCTGTCTAGACGGTAATATGAAACGTTTTGAATATCTAGATATTGCTAATATGAAGCTCGAGCGGGAAACACAATCTCTCGAGATCTGCTATTTGCTGGGATGCCCAAACTTCGATTGGAGATGCTTCACGGAGCCTCGTTTCCGAAGTTGTAGAGCTTTTGCGACTCCCGATTGTCGTTTATCACTGAGATATGGAGAGCGTTCTGAAGGGTACCCGCTTATAGTCGATCGGGAAGCCTCAGGCACTCAGAATTAGTCGACGAAGTGACCATAGCCAAGCTCTCATCTGCGAACGGAATTCCGCAAAACTTGGTGCCGCGAACGTCACGTGGAGATGGGAAAAAAGGTTCTGAAGAACACGTACGTCAGCACCACGTGCAGCAGAAACAATTCTAGGTAAGGACTCCTGCTAGGGAAAGAGTTATGTTCACTAAGGAATGGAATAAGAACTTCACGTGTGCGACGAGGACAATTGATATCGCGAAAGTCTGGAGAATGTTACTGGAAAGCAATATGAAAACCCTGATTTGAGATGTTGAATCCTATACACATCATATTACAAATCCTATCACAAATCATAGAGAAGCTGCCTTTAGGCAAGCAAAAAGAGCATCCGCCTGTGGGACATCAGATGTCCTAGAAAATCATAGATAAGAAAACTAGGATAAAATGAAAAGGCGCGTCTTCCACGAAGTTGTTGTAACGAGGATAATCCGCACCGCACCCCTCCAAGCGTGCATGAGGCACGCGCCACGCTCAGGTAGAAACAGATCAGCACCCATCTACACCGAGCGGACAACAGTAGCGAGGCGCGATAATAAGTGGCCCTGCGCGGTCCGCAACACGGCAAGGCTCTCCGCCTTGATCCGCGCGTCCATCGCGGTGTTCCTCTCCAACTGAACCACCGCAGACTGGAGTTCAAAAAGCATCTTCTTCACAGCAGCAGGACACGTCACGTCAATCCCAAGGTTGACGCTTGGCTGACCCAGCCTCGGCTGTTCCACATTCAGCTGCTGCGAGCACACGTCACCCCGACACCCGCTTGCGGAAGGCACGGAAGTCGATGTGGATGAGTCACGGCGAAGTAAGGATGACTCAGCCTGTGAGCCTTCAGCCTCACTATCTCGCAGTTCCGCGGATTCGGGATCGTTGCTGCACACGGAAGCGGTATCGTCGTCAGCTTCGGAAGCCTGTGCCGAGACACGGCGCGAAACCGCCGCAGCCGCCGGCGGCAGCGGCGCTTCAGACGACACCGCAGCTCCCATGTTCTGCTTCTGCCTCTGCGCCTGCTTGAACGCAGCGAACAGCTGAAGCGCCTTGCGCGCCGACGGCTGCTGCGCACCGAGCTGCGCGTGGAGAAACAGAAGAAACCCGTTCACGTCGTTGCCAAACTCCTCCTTCATCGCGACGCGATCCCTCAGCTTGCCCACCGCCGCATCCCACTGCGCGAGATTCGCGGGCGGCAGAGAGCCACGCAGCGACGACGTCAGCCTGTCGTACTTCACGAGCCGCTCCGCCACGTCAGCGTCGCACGGAAGCACCGCTGGGAGTCCCGACGCCGCGGCACCGACCTCGAGCGCGTTTGACGGGACTTGCAAGGGGCAATCCGAGGGATAGGTGGACCGAAGCTGGCTGGTAACCTCCTCGTCGAGTCGGGCTGCGGCGTGCGAGCGCTTCACGGCGCGGCGGAGGGCCTCCACAGGCGGGAGCGGACAGCGTGCGGGGTGAGCAGCGGGAGCTGCAGGAACCGCGGGGAGTGGCGGATTGGTCCGCCGAAGTGGACTAGCGCTGAGGACGCGAGGAATCTGGGGAATTGCGGCGGCGGGGGATTGCGCTTGGGGCTTGAAGCGGCGGAGCATTGCGAGGAAGGGGAGCGCGGCATTGGTGTTGTCGTCACACGGCGAACGTTCCAAAATCGCGCCGTTACACGGCGGGCACGGTGGGGGAGAGGCGATCGGAGTAGAGGATAGGCTGAGCGTAGTATCGAGGAGAGCCGCTGGAGGGACGGAGATGGGGGACGATGAGAGGGATCGAAGGCGTTTGCTTGCGTGTAACGAGTCGGCGAAAAGCGGAAAGCCTACAGTGGGGAGAGGCTCCATGGCAGGAGCGAAAGGGAGGAACGCGCGGAAGTGCGTGTGGTCTGGAGTGGGTGAGTTGAACTGGAGAGCCATGGACATTGGCGAAGTATGGGTGGGCTTGATTCGGAATAAGAATGCTCGGAATGGAAACTCTGGCGGGTTTCGGATAGCGAGCGAAGGCGCAAACTTGATTGATGATGGTGGAGCGTGTGAGGGTGGTGGCTTTTATCCAGGACATTTGGGATGGGGGGAGGGACAGAGCGGGCCTGGATAAATGGTTGCATGGATGGTTGCACAAAGTTTTCCTCGTTGTGTGTATGAGTGAGCTAGTGAGTGAGTGAGTGTGCGAGCTGTTTTAGTGCAACGCAATGCAGTGCAATGCACTGCTGGGCTGTGTGAGGGAGAGGCAGGGCACGGACCAGGGGGATGCGCGCACAGTGCAGCGCAGCAGTAGCCCACTTCTTTCGTCACGTCAGCATGTGAAAAGGGCACTGAGACGGAAAGGGAAACGGAGGATGTGTGGTGGGAGGGGTTAGGGAGGGATGGGCTGGGATGCGAAGAGATGGGGGAGGTTGTGGAGGGCGTCCGTTCACCTGCTGGAATTTGTCCTTTCGCCTGGTGGAATGGGCATTGGCCAATTTTTTTCTCGCATCGCACGCGAATTAATTCATATTTTATCTTTCGAGCGTTGTGGTGCTGTACTCCCTCAGTCTGAAACTTTCCGTTCCGACTGGGGGAATGGTCGCAGCCAACACTGGAATTGCTGCCCGACATAGACATTGAGTCTGCTTGTGTGCGTCTTGAGGCGAATCACAGTATCTTTGAACAAACACAGAAAACTTACCACTGCCCTAGCGTGCCAGCGTGATGCGTTGTCGGCGTTTGGCATAATGGCAGTGCCGATGTTCTAGACACGCACACTTCATCTCTTTGCCTTGCTGGATGCGGTCTTGCTCTTGGTGCGGTCGGCTAGCGCGTGTGTCTACTGCTCCCCGCCCTTCAATTTGTGGTTGAATTTCCGACAGAAATTGGATCGCAGAATCGAGGTCACTTGCGACTCTTTTTTGCTGCTTGATGGCGGGCTCTGCAAGTCGACCAACCTCTGCGATGAAGTGCTGGATTGGAAATGAAGGAAACGACAACTGTTGAGAGATCTTCCAACAAACATTCCTCTGACGTGGCGCTTCAGACGAGGCGGATCTGATCAAAGTAGGAGCCAAGTCAGAGGAAACAAAACTAGGAAAGAAACTGTTTCGCACGCCTGATTCCAACGCCACAGAAGCGCCACCATTGAATGCAAGAAGCCATGCTTGGTGACTCAGCATGGTGATGCGCTGGCGAGCCAAGACGGAATTCTAGCTCGCGCTGGATTTCAGTCCGACGCCAACGAGTGGAAGTTGGGTGTTGGGGAATCGGGGATTGGCTTCGGAGTGGTGTGGAATGAATGGGAGAGTCTGGAGATAGCGTATGGCTCGAAGTGGTTTCAACTTGCTTGAAATCAATGGACGGGGAAAGGGAGGAAATGAAACTCAATGTGTGTAATAAAACTTTTAGCGGGATATCCTTGTCAGCACGAAGTGCACGTATCGCGGGCCGTTAGGGCATCCAGCGCGAGTTGGTAAAGGCCAATAAAAAACTGCGAGTGTATCGCGACCACGTGCTATGGAGGTGCAGTATACAGCTCGTTAAGGTACAGTGTATGTACAGTCTATCTCGCATAAATGCTCAATGGAGGTTGGTGAAACAGAGATTCAACAGAAGGTTGTGTCAACAGAAGGTGGTGAAATTTCAGTGTAGCCACAACTGAAGCCAAGGAACACAACTTATCATCACCAATTTCAGGAAGGAATTCTGCTAACCAGACATGCCATCATTAGGCTGGTGTGTGTAATCAGCTGGAGAATAATGCTTGTTGGTTGACACCCAATTGAGAATAATGGTTGTTAGTTAGACCCTCTTAAATAATGTATTGATAAAGCTTGCTTTCTTATTCTTATCAATTGGCATCGTTCTCATTACAAATGGCTGTTTACAACATTTGCATCACAATTGAACACAAGCTAGTGCATGCTCATATCACTAGCTACGATATAACCTATCCAAGTGGCATGCGCAAAACGGTTTTCGCTGGGGTGGGGTGGTGGGAAGGTTGAGTAAGCCGTTTGAAAATAGAGAAACGTGGGTGGAGGAAATGAGCTCCAACCCACGGTTTTTGTAGTTGGAGAAGGGCGTTTAGCGCGCTTCGACGATGCCAATTGTGCAATACAAGCAGCTTCGCTTTCACAATACACAATTTTGAAAAACACTGTGTTTAAAAATTATAATGTTGTCTGCACAAAAACTGCAGTGTACAGTTCATGCACTGTCAAACAGCCTGCATCATTGCATTATTGCATCCATGTGATGTAAATACCGTACTAAATGTATGGGATTTGCAACAAATGAATCGTTATGATGGTGTGTCTCAGAGCAAATCCACCACTTCCAGTGCTGTAGTGCAATGATTCTACGCCACTGCATTTTGCTGTTGGCACCAGTATAGCGGACCCTTTCCACTGTTCGATTAATCTGCCCAGTACAGCAGAACAAGCTTTAATCCTACACTTCTTGAACCTTATACTGTGTATGCAATAACATACCATAATTGCCAAGAAGCCTCTGCATTTTATCTTTCAAGAACTGTCAAAACTGTGTCGTAACGACATACATGGTTTCACTGGTTCCATTGCTGCTCTGACCCTTGCTGCTGCTGCGTTAACAGGTGAGCTTGCTGCAAAAGGTCAGGCACTTGCTGCTGCTGCTGCTGTTGCTGTTGGCTAGAGAAACTGGACATGCCAGTATACTGCTGCTGCTCCTGCGCCTGCTGCTGCATCAACATCTGCTGCTGCTGCATCTGCTGTTGCTGCATCTGCTGCTGCTGCTGCTGCTGCTGCTGCTGCTGTTGCATCTGCATCTGCTGCAATTGAATCTGCTGCTGCATGTCAATCTGAGCCTGTTTCATCCTAGAATACTGCGCCCGACCCTCCACAGAATGCGCCATGGCCTGCATGCGGCTCACCGCCAGACTCACCTCTCTCTCCTCCCCATCCCCACCCCCCACCTCCCCACCCTCACTCCCGTACAGCGCACCATCCGCATCGGAGTGGCAATCTCCCTGCTGGGCTCGGAGCCCCCGCACGCCGTTGCGGCGGAACCGCCAGCGCAGGACCGCCTTGGCGATGATCCCCAGGCCCCACTTCATCTTCTTGTACTTTACTCGCTGGATGTGCCCCTTCACATGCGCCTGGGGGGAGGGAAGAGGGAGGGGGGGAGGGTAGGAGGATGGATATACACATTGCCTTGGCGATGATCCCCAGGCCCCACTTCATCTTGTTGTATTTCACCCGCTGGATGTGCCCCTTCATGTGCGCCTGGGGAAATCGAGGGGGATGGGGGAGGGTGGGGGGGGTGGGAGGGGGAGGGTTGATTGCACTGCCTTGTCAATGATCCCCAGGCCCCGATTCATCTTCTTGTATTTCACCCGCTGAATGTGCCCGTTCACGTGCGCCTGGGGGGTTGGGGTTCGAGGCGCGGGAGGAAGGGTTAGAGCAAGGGAATTGGACTATTTCTCTACTAGCCCCACTATCCCACCACTATCCTACCACTCATCCTCTACCAGTCACCCTGCTAGTCACCACCCTCACCTGAATCTTGATCACGCGCTGGCGCATGCGTAGAAAATCCCTGCGGTGCTTCCACGTGCGGAACCGCCTCTGAATGCTCCGCGCCGCCTCCGACTGCTTGAAGGTCTTGTGCCCTCGGAACGCGTTCTGAATCTTCCGCGCCGCAACCAGCATTCTCGCCTCCTCCTCATCCAACTCATCATCCCCACCAATCCCCAGCCCTGCCGCTGCCTCTGCTGCAGCAGCCACTGCTCTCTCCTGCTCGCGAAGCTCCTCCTCCTCCTCCTGCTGCTGGCGCCTTCGCTCTGAGTGCTTCCTGAACCGCTCCTGGATCAACGCTGCAGCTTGTGCCGTCCTTCGGATCGCATCCAGCGTTTCTTGCATGTCCGGCGACGCAGCGACGGAAGCGGGACGGGCCGCCCCTGGGAGACCACCTGCAGCGGCACCAGCAGCAGCAGCACCAGCACTGGCACCATTGCTGGCACCCGCTGCTGCAGCGGCCACGGCTGCGTGACCGGCAGCAGCGGCGGATTGGAGCAGAGAGGGGTCGGTGGCCAGCTGGTGCTGGTCCTGAATGGTCATGGAGGAGAGGGAGGCATTGAGAGACGACTCTGCTAGATACGCCGCGATGCCCGTGTGCCCGCATGATGATGCGGTGTCGGCTGCTGTGCGCTCCGCCCCTCCCACTCGAGCTAGGAGAGAGGAGTTGGTGCCCGCTGCCACCAGTGCCACCACCATTGCTTCCCTGCAACATTGAGGGCAGAGAGAAAGGAGAGGAAAAGGGAGGAGAGAGAGAAGTGAGGAGAGAAAGAAGAGAGGGGTCGGTGGCTAGCTGGTGCTGGTCCTGAATGGTCATGGAGGAGAGGGAGGCGTTGAGAGACGACTCTGCTAGATACGCCGCGATGCCCGTGTGCCCGCACGCGGATGCTGTGTCTACTGCTGTGCGCTCGGCCCCTCCCACTCGAGCGAGGAGAGAAGAGTTGGCTCCCGCTGCCACCAGCGCCACCACCATTGCCTCCCTGCAGGAAGCAGCAAGTGGACAGAGAAAAACGGGGGAAAGAGAGGAAAGAGAGAGACGGGGGGAGTGGGGAGGAGAGAGAGGCGTTGAGAGACGACTCTGCTAGACATGCTGCGATGCCCGTGTGGTCGCATGCTGATGCCGCGTCTGCTGCTGTACGCTCCGCCCCGCCCACTCGTGCTAGGAGAGACGCGCTGGCCCCCGCCGCAACGAACGCCACCACATGCTGAGATGCCCGTGTGGTGGGTGGGATGCTGATGCCGCGTCTGCAGCTGTAGTTTGAGACGTCTCATCACCACCCTAGCACACGCATCATCTGCACTCACCTCCCCTTAGCAGCGGCCCAATGCAGCGCCATACACCCGCTTTTGTCTCTTGCGTTCAGGTCCCACCCAACAGCCATAAGCAGCGGCACTGCCCATGGCCATCCCACATGAGTTGCGCCAGGTCCATGCCCCATGCCCCTCCTGTCCCTCCTGCCTGCCTCCCCATCCCAGCTCACATCAGCACTTACCTCCCTTTAGCAGCAGCCCAGCCCAGTGCAGTGCAGCCTCGCTTGTCCAGTGCATTCAGGTCCCACCCCACAGCCATGAGCAGAGGCACAGCCCACGGCCACCCCAGTGCCGCCACCAGATGCCCCAGGCTCACTCTTTCTCACCTCCCCAGCCCTCGCTCACACCAACTCACCTCCCTTTAGCTGCAGCCCAATGAAGTGCCGTACACCCCCTCTTGTCTCGCGCATTCAGGTCCCACCCCACAGCCATGAGCAGAGGCACAGCCCACGGCCACCCCAGTGCCGCCACCAGATGCCCCAGCCCCAGCCCCATGCCCCTCCTGCCCGCCTCCCTCGCTGCATCGCTGTTCAGCGCCAACCAACGGCCCAGATGCTTCCGCATCAGTGCCTGCAGCAGCACGCCTTCCAACCGCACTGGACTCCCCTGGACCCCCGCCACTCCTCCCTCCACTCCTCCTCCTCCCCCTCCCACTCCTCCTCTCTCTGTATCAGCCCCCCCTTGACATTGCAGCCTGAGAGCATACTCGTCAGCGTCCTCCTCATCACTCCCATACCCCCACATGCTCATCTCTCTCTCCTCATCATCCTCCTCCCCATCCTCTTCCTCCTCTCTATCCACCCCCATTCCCTCCCTCCCCGCCACGTCCTCCCCCCTGTTCCCATCCACCCTGCCCCTCCACTCCGCTTCATCCGGGCATGCTGCTGACGTGGACGCGAGCGCCTCATCCACCCACGCCCAGTCAGCGCTGACGTCCGCCAGGCTGGCGCGGTTGATGCGGGAGATGAAGCAGAGGAGGTGGGAGAGCAGAGTGCGTTCGGAGAGAAACAAACGGGGGAGACTCGGCCTGCCACCATCCCCATCAGCACCCCCACCAGCAGCAGCAGCAGCAGCAGCAGCAGCACCACCAAGACTGCTCTTGCCAATGGTTCTGTTTCGATCCAGAGCCAGGCTCTTTTTGAAGGATTGCCAAGGCGGGAGGAAGTCGAAGGGAACGGGAGGGCTACACGGCACTCTCTTCATCGCCTTGCCTCCCTCCCCTCCTACCCCTCCTCCTGCTGCTCCAACCCCCGCCGCCACACCCCCTCCTGCTACAGCCATGTCCTGATTCATTGCATCTGCACTCCCCCCATTGTCCACACTCACGGTCCCACCACCCTCACCCTCACCCGCAGGAGCAGTCACAGCAGCAGCAGGGGTGCAGGTGACACGCAGGCTAACCCGGCCCTGCTTGTGAATGGGAGCCACGCACCGCAGTACACCGTGCACAACCTGCTCAGCTTCCACCTCCACCTCTCCAAACGTCACCCCCCACCGCACGCCCCACACCGTGTCCCCTCGGCCGAAACTCCCGCTGCCGGTCCCCCCAAGCCCGCCCCCCCCAAGACCCCCCCCAGCACCGAAACTGCCCCCGCCCCCGCTAAGGCTGCCACGGGGGGAGCAGCGCGTGTGGGGGCTTGGGGACCCTCGCGGATCATGGACAGAGCCTGCTAGCAGCACCTGGGGGAGAGGGGGGTTTGGCAAGGGGGTTTGGAGTGGGGAAAGGGGGAAGGGGGTGGGGCCTCAGGGGCGTGTGGGGGCTTGGGGACCCTCTGGGATCGTGGACAGAGCCTGCTAGCAGCACCTGGGGGGTATTGTGGGGAGGGATTTGGGGAGGGGAAAGGGGGGGTTGGAAGAAGCGCGTGTGGGGCCTTGGGGTCTCTCGGGGGCGGTGGACGGAACCTGACGCCAGCACCAGTACTGACCTTGCGCCCCCCCCACCTAACCCATAGTGGCAGCAGAGGTGGGAGCATAGTCGACAATGGAGAAGGTCACCATGGGGCGCTGCGAGTCTGTTGCATTACTGCTCGCACCGAGTTTCTTTCATCTCATTTTCACCCGCGCACCACCACCATCATCATTACTAACCTTGACGCCCCCCATGGTGGCAGCAGAGGTGGGAGCATAGTCGGCAATGGAGAAGGTCACCATGGGGCGCGGCGAGTCTGCTGCTGCCACCGACCCCATGCCCCCCATCGACAGCATCCCGCCGCCTATCCCCCTCCTCGCCCCCAACCCTGCTCCTGCTCCTCCCCCCACGCTCCCTCCCCCTCCCCATCCTCCCCCCACGCTCCCTCCCCCTCCCCATCCTCCTCCCCCCACGCTCCCTCCCCCTCCCCATCCTCCTCCCCCCACGCTCCCTCCCCCTCCCCATCCTCCTCCCCCTGCTCCTCCTGCCCCCACTCCAGACACCCCATCACCACCACTAGCAGCAGCAGCAGGAGCGGTGCTTCCCAGAGGGAGCATGGGAGACGCACCCATGAACGACAGGTCATACTTGCTGCCTCCTAGACCTACACCATGCTCCTCCTCCCCGTCCCCTCCCGCCTCCTCCTTCACCCCCAGCTTGAAACTCACCTCCTGCCTTTCCAGCCCCGTCTCAGCGCCTCCAAACGAGGGGGAGACCATACCGGAAGAGGTGGGGGAGGAGGGGAACGGCTCGGGGGAGGAGAGAGGGGAGGGCGTTGGGGCAGATCGCCGCATGGCTTGGATTCTAACGTCAAACGCGTCACTGCCACCACCAGCTCCAGATGCAGAGAGAGGAAAGGTACCACCCCCCATAACCGCGTCCTCTCCCACCCCCGCCCCATCCCCGCCTGCTCCCCCACCGCCTCCAGCACCACCATCCCCTTTATAAACCTCCTCGATCCACTCTCCAAAGCTGTCCAGCTTCCGAAACATTGCAGGTTCGTTAGGCATGCTGCCGCTCTGAGGGATGCTCCCACTCTTAGGCATGCTGCTGCCACTGGGCGGCAGGGGGAACCCAGACAGGCTCCTGTTAGCCCCGTCCGTCTGCATCTCATCAAACATATTCGAGAACCCCGGCCGCCCCGAGCCTCCCGAGCTTCGGAGCTCCGGCGGGTACGCGCCGAGCCAGCTCTCGGGAGGTACGGCCGGAGCTGCGGCGGCAGCTATGGCGGCAGCTGCGGCGGCGGTGGCGGCAGCGATGGCTCGGGGGGAGCCGGAGGCGCCGCCTCCGCTGAAGGCTGCTTCTCTCCCTGCCTCGTTGAGAGGGAGGGTCTGAAGGAGGAGGGATGACTGGTGGGTGGGAATGGGGAGGGCCGGTTGGGGAAGAGAATGACAGGGGAGGAGAGGGAGGAATTGGGGAGAGGGAAGGGAAAAGGTGAAGCTTTGGGGGGGTAGATAGTTGCAGGTTAAGGTGAAAAAGGTGCTTTTATTGTGTGGTGATTGAGAGGGAGAAGGTGCAGAGAAACGATGAGCGAGGAAAGAGGTGAGGAGCGAGAAAGAGAGGGGATGAGGAGGAAGGGGTGAGGGGCGAGGTGAGGAGAGAGGGAGTAAGGATAGAAGGGTGGGGCGAGAACGGTGAGGAGAGAAGAGCATAAGCACTCCACATACTCTTTGTATCTGCCAACCTCACATAGCCATAGGTGCACACACGCACCACACTTGCACACCCATCCTTGCACCGCCACCACACTCACATGATCATTTCCCACCCACCCACACCAGTCCGGCCCCTTCCACCCGTACACACCAGGCCAGAGGAGCCCAAGCGAGCATATATGAACGAGTTCAGCTGCGCCTCTGCTGCACCCCGCACGCCCACCCCAGGTCACTCAAAAGTCACTCGCACACAAGCCAGTCCCCCTACCCACACACACACGCCAGTCCCCCCACCCACACACACACGCCAGTCCCCCCACCCACACACACACGCCCACCTGCACTGCACACACCAATCCCCCCATCCATACACACCCCTCCCCCCACCCACCAACGCACCTGGTCTGTGTGTGGGCCAGAGGAGCCCGAGCGAGCATACATGGGCGAGTTCAGCTGCGCCTCTGCTGAGCCCGCTGCTGCTGCCGGCCCTGCTGCTGGCGATGCGAATGGGGAGGCCTTGAAGAGAATGACAGTCCAGGAGACTGTGGAATCGGGGAGAGACTAAGGGAAAAGGGAGAATATTTGGGCACCTAGATAGTTGCAGGTTCTGGTGAAAATGGTGCTTTTATTGTGTGGTGATTGAGAGGGAGAAGGTGCAGAGAAACGATGAGCGAGGAAAGAGGTGAGGAGCACCACTGAGGGGATGAGGAGGAAGGGGTGAGGGGCGAGGTGAGGAGAGAGGGAGTAAGGATAGAAGGGTGGGGCGAGAACGGTGAGGAGAGAAGAGCATAAGCACTCCACATACTCTTTGTATCTGCCAACCTCACATAGCCATAGGTGCACACACGCACCACACTTGCACACCCATCCTTGCACCGCCACCACACTCACATGATCATTTCCCACCCACCCACATGTAGTCCGGCCCTTCCACCCGTACACACCAGGCCAGAGGAGCCCAAGCGAGCATATATGAACGAGTTCAGCTGCGCCTCTGCTGCCCCCGCTGCTGCTGCCGGCCCTGCTGCTGGCGATGCTGCGCTCCCCGAACCAGCAGCACCTGTGCCTGCTGCAGTAGCATCGGCTCCGAACGAGCCTGCAGGAAGGTGGAGGTTCAGCAGGTTGTGGGGGATGTTTAGGCGGGGGGAGGTGGGGGGATGGGGGTGGGCGGGGGTGAGCGGCGGTGGGCGGGGGTGGGCGGGGGTGGGCGGGGGTGAGTGGGGTATGGGGGAGGCATTGGGCGGGAGCATGCACGGGGCGAAATGCGCAGTTGGTGACTGACATGTTGGTATCGCACTGTGCACTGCACCAAACTGCACTGCACCGCACTGCACCGCACCGCAGCAGCAGTAGCAGCAGCAGCAGTACCTGCGAGGCCCGACGCCTTGATGAGCTCGTCCAGCACCACTGTGTCTCGCAGGAGCGACTACACGAACTGGGAGAATATTCAGGCACCTCACATGTAGACAAGTTCTGTCTAAATGTCTTGACGCCTGACCTCAAAGCAGTACCTGCGAGGCCCGACGCCTTGATGAGCTCGTCCAGCACCACTGTGTCTCGCAGGAGCGACTACACGAACTGGGAGAATATTCAGGCACCTCACATGTAGACAAGTTCTGTCTAAATGTCTTGACGCCTGACCTCAAAGCAGTACCTGCGAGGCCCGACGCCTTGATGAGCTCGTCCAGCACCACTGTGTCTCGCAGGAGCGACTACACGAACTGGGAGAATATTCAGGCACCTCACATGTAGACAAGTTCTGTCTAAATGTCTTGACGCCTGACCTCAAAGCAGTACCTGCGAGGCCCGACGCCTTGATGAGCTCGTCCAGCACCACTGTGTCTCGCAGGAGCGACTACACGAACTGGGAGAATATTCAGGCACCTCACATGTAGACAAGTTCTGTCTAAATGTCTTGACGCCTGACCTCAAAGCAGTACCTGCGAGGCCCGACGCCTTGATGAGCTCGTCCAGCACCACTGTGTCTCGCAGGAGCGACTACACGAACTGGGAGAATATTCAGGCACCTCACATGTAGACAAGTTCTGTCTAAATGTCTTGACGCCTGACCTCAAAGCAGTACCTGCGAGGCCCGACGCCTTGATGAGCTCGTCCAGCACCACTGTGTCTCGCAGGAGCGACTACACGAACTGGGAGAATATTCAGGCACCTCACATGTAGACAAGTTCTGTCTAAATGTCTTGACGCCTGACCTCAAAGCAGTACCTGCGAGGCCCGACGCCTTGATGAGCTCGTCCAGCACCACTGTGTCTCGCAGGAGCGACTACACGAACTGGGAGAATATTCAGGCACCTCACATGTAGACAAGTTCTGTCTAAATGTCTTGACGCCTGACCTCAAAGCAGTACCTGCGAGGCCCGACGCCTTGATGAGCTCGTCCAGCACCACTGTGTCTCGCAGGAGCGACTACACGAACTGGGAGAATATTCAGGCACCTCACATGTAGACAAGTTCTGTCTAAATGTCTTGACGCCTGACCTCAAAGCAGTACCTGCGAGGCCCGACGCCTTGATGAGCTCGTCCAGCACCACTGTGTCTCGCAGGAGCGACTACACGAACTGGGAGAATATTCAGGCACCTCACATGTAGACAAGTTCTGTCTAAATGTCTTGACGCCTGACCTCAAAGCAGTACCTGCGAGGCCCGACGCCTTGATGAGCTCGTCCAGCACCACTGTGTCTCGCAGGAGCGACTACACGAACTGGGAGAATATTCAGGCACCTCACATGTAGACAAGTTCTGTCTAAATGTCTTGACGCCTGACCTCAAAGCAGTACCTGCGAGGCCCGACGCCTTGATGAGCTCGTCCAGCACCACTGTGTCTCGCAGGAGCGACTACACGAACTGGGAGAATATTCAGGCACCTCACATGTAGACAAGTTCTGTCTAAATGTCTTGACGCCTGACCTCAAAGCAGTACCTGCGAGGCCCGACGCCTTGATGAGCTCGTCCAGCACCACTGTGTCTCGCAGGAGCGACTACACGAACTGGGAGAATATTCAGGCACCTCACATGTAGACAAGTTCTGTCTAAATGTCTTGACGCCTGACCTCAAAGCAGTACCTGCGAGGCCCGACGCCTTGATGAGCTCGTCCAGCACCACTGTGTCTCGCAGGAGCGACTACACGAACTGGGAGAATATTCAGGCACCTCACATGTAGACAAGTTCTGTCTAAATGTCTTGACGCCTGACCTCAAAGCAGTACCTGCGAGGCCCGACGCCTTGATGAGCTCGTCCAGCACCACTGTGTCTCGCAGGAGCGACTACACGAACTGGGAGAATATTCAGGCACCTCACATGTAGACAAGTTCTGTCTAAATGTCTTGACGCCTGACCTCAAAGCAGTACCTGCGAGGCCCGACGCCTTGATGAGCTCGTCCAGCACCACTGTGTCTCGCAGGAGCGACTACACGAACTGGGAGAATATTCAGGCACCTCACATGTAGACAAGTTCTGTCTAAATGTCTTGACGCCTGACCTCAAAGCAGTACCTGCGAGGCCCGACGCCTTGATGAGCTCGTCCAGCACCACTGTGTCTCGCAGGAGCGACTACACGAACTGGGAGAATATTCAGGCACCTCACATGTAGACAAGTTCTGTCTAAATGTCTTGACGCCTGACCTCAAAGCAGTACCTGCGAGGCCCGACGCCTTGATGAGCTCGTCCAGCACCACTGTGTCTCGCAGGAGCGACTACACGAACTGGGAGAATATTCAGGCACCTCACATGTAGACAAGTTCTGTCTAAATGTCTTGACGCCTGACCTCAAAGCAGTACCTGCGAGGCCCGACGCCTTGATGAGCTCGTCCAGCACCACTGTGTCTCGCAGGAGCGACTACACGAACTGGGAGAATATTCAGGCACCTCACATGTAGACAAGTTCTGTCTAAATGTCTTGACGCCTGACCTCAAAGCAGTACCTGCGAGGCCCGACGCCTTGATGAGCTCGTCCAGCACCACTGTGTCTCGCAGGAGCGACTACACGAACTGGGAGAATATTCAGGCACCTCACATGTAGACAAGTTCTGTCTAAATGTCTTGACGCCTGACCTCAAAGCAGTACCTGCGAGGCCCGACGCCTTGATGAGCTCGTCCAGCACCACTGTGTCTCGCAGGAGCGACTACACGAACTGGGAGAATATTCAGGCACCTCACATGTAGACAAGTTCTGTCTAAATGTCTTGACGCCTGACCTCAAAGCAGTACCTGCGAGGCCCGACGCCTTGATGAGCTCGTCCAGCACCACTGTGTCTCGCAGGAGCGACTACACGAACTGGGAGAATATTCAGGCACCTCACATGTAGACAAGTTCTGTCTAAATGTCTTGACGCCTGACCTCAAAGCAGTACCTGCGAGGCCCGACGCCTTGATGAGCTCGTCCAGCACCACTGTGTCTCGCAGGAGCGACTACACGAACTGGGAGAATATTCAGGCACCTCACATGTAGACAAGTTCTGTCTAAATGTCTTGACGCCTGACCTCAAAGCAGTACCTGCGAGGCCCGACGCCTTGATGAGCTCGTCCAGCACCACTGTGTCTCGCAGGAGCGACTACACGAACTGGGAGAATATTCAGGCACCTCACATGTAGACAAGTTCTGTCTAAATGTCTTGACGCCTGACCTCAAAGCAGTACCTGCGAGGCCCGACGCCTTGATGAGCTCGTCCAGCACCACTGTGTCTCGCAGGAGCGACTACACGAACTGGGAGAATATTCAGGCACCTCACATGTAGACAAGTTCTGTCTAAATGTCTTGACGCCTGACCTCAAAGCAGTACCTGCGAGGCCCGACGCCTTGATGAGCTCGTCCAGCACCACTGTGTCTCGCAGGAGCGACTACACGAACTGGGAGAATATTCAGGCACCTCACATGTAGACAAGTTCTGTCTAAATGTCTTGACGCCTGACCTCAAAGCAGTACCTGCGAGGCCCGACGCCTTGATGAGCTCGTCCAGCACCACTGTGTCTCGCAGGAGCGACTACACGAACTGGGAGAATATTCAGGCACCTCACATGTAGACAAGTTCTGTCTAAATGTCTTGACGCCTGACCTCAAAGCAGTACCTGCGAGGCCCGACGCCTTGATGAGCTCGTCCAGCACCACTGTGTCTCGCAGGAGCGACTACACGAACTGGGAGAATATTCAGGCACCTCACATGTAGACAAGTTCTGTCTAAATGTCTTGACGCCTGACCTCAAAGCAGTACCTGCGAGGCCCGACGCCTTGATGAGCTCGTCCAGCACCACTGTGTCTCGCAGGAGCGACTACACGAACTGGGAGAATATTCAGGCACCTCACATGTAGACAAGTTCTGTCTAAATGTCTTGACGCCTGACCTCAAAGCAGTACCTGCGAGGCCCGACGCCTTGATGAGCTCGTCCAGCACCACTGTGTCTCGCAGGAGCGACTACACGAACTGGGAGAATATTCAGGCACCTCACATGTAGACAAGTTCTGTCTAAATGTCTTGACGCCTGACCTCAAAGCAGTACCTGCGAGGCCCGACGCCTTGATGAGCTCGTCCAGCACCACTGTGTCTCGCAGGAGCGACTACACGAACTGGGAGAATATTCAGGCACCTCACATGTAGACAAGTTCTGTCTAAATGTCTTGACGCCTGACCTCAAAGCAGTACCTGCGAGGCCCGACGCCTTGATGAGCTCGTCCAGCACCACTGTGTCTCGCAGGAGCGACTACACGAACTGGGAGAATATTCAGGCACCTCACATGTAGACAAGTTCTGTCTAAATGTCTTGACGCCTGACCTCAAAGCAGTACCTGCGAGGCCCGACGCCTTGATGAGCTCGTCCAGCACCACTGTGTCTCGCAGGAGCGACTACACGAACTGGGAGAATATTCAGGCACCTCACATGTAGACAAGTTCTGTCTAAATGTCTTGACGCCTGACCTCAAAGCAGTACCTGCGAGGCCCGACGCCTTGATGAGCTCGTCCAGCACCACTGTGTCTCGCAGGAGCGACTACACGAACTGGGAGAATATTCAGGCACCTCACATGTAGACAAGTTCTGTCTAAATGTCTTGACGCCTGACCTCAAAGCAGTACCTGCGAGGCCCGACGCCTTGATGAGCTCGTCCAGCACCACTGTGTCTCGCAGGAGCGACTACACGAACTGGGAGAATATTCAGGCACCTCACATGTAGACAAGTTCTGTCTAAATGTCTTGACGCCTGACCTCAAAGCAGTACCTGCGAGGCCCGACGCCTTGATGAGCTCGTCCAGCACCACTGTGTCTCGCAGGAGCGACTACACGAACTGGGAGAATATTCAGGCACCTCACATGTAGACAAGTTCTGTCTAAATGTCTTGACGCCTGACCTCAAAGCAGTACCTGCGAGGCCCGACGCCTTGATGAGCTCGTCCAGCACCACTGTGTCTCGCAGGAGCGACTACACGAACTGGGAGAATATTCAGGCACCTCACATGTAGACAAGTTCTGTCTAAATGTCTTGACGCCTGACCTCAAAGCAGTACCTGCGAGGCCCGACGCCTTGATGAGCTCGTCCAGCACCACTGTGTCTCGCAGGAGCGACTACACGAACTGGGAGAATATTCAGGCACCTCACATGTAGACAAGTTCTGTCTAAATGTCTTGACGCCTGACCTCAAAGCAGTACCTGCGAGGCCCGACGCCTTGATGAGCTCGTCCAGCACCACTGTGTCTCGCAGGAGCGACTACACGAACTGGGAGAATATTCAGGCACCTCACATGTAGACAAGTTCTGTCTAAATGTCTTGACGCCTGACCTCAAAGCAGTACCTGCGAGGCCCGACGCCTTGATGAGCTCGTCCAGCACCACTGTGTCTCGCAGGAGCGACTACACGAACTGGGAGAATATTCAGGCACCTCACATGTAGACAAGTTCTGTCTAAATGTCTTGACGCCTGACCTCAAAGCAGTACCTGCGAGGCCCGACGCCTTGATGAGCTCGTCCAGCACCACTGTGTCTCGCAGGAGCGACTACACGAACTGGGAGAATATTCAGGCACCTCACATGTAGACAAGTTCTGTCTAAATGTCTTGACGCCTGACCTCAAAGCAGTACCTGCGAGGCCCGACGCCTTGATGAGCTCGTCCAGCACCACTGTGTCTCGCAGGAGCGACTACACGAACTGGGAGAATATTCAGGCACCTCACATGTAGACAAGTTCTGTCTAAATGTCTTGACGCCTGACCTCAAAGCAGTACCTGCGAGGCCCGACGCCTTGATGAGCTCGTCCAGCACCACTGTGTCTCGCAGGAGCGACTACACGAACTGGGAGAATATTCAGGCACCTCACATGTAGACAAGTTCTGTCTAAATGTCTTGACGCCTGACCTCAAAGCAGTACCTGCGAGGCCCGACGCCTTGATGAGCTCGTCCAGCACCACTGTGTCTCGCAGGAGCGACTACACGAACTGGGAGAATATTCAGGCACCTCACATGTAGACAAGTTCTGTCTAAATGTCTTGACGCCTGACCTCAAAGCAGTACCTGCGAGGCCCGACGCCTTGATGAGCTCGTCCAGCACCACTGTGTCTCGCAGGAGCGACTACACGAACTGGGAGAATATTCAGGCACCTCACATGTAGACAAGTTCTGTCTAAATGTCTTGACGCCTGACCTCAAAGCAGTACCTGCGAGGCCCGACGCCTTGATGAGCTCGTCCAGCACCACTGTGTCTCGCAGGAGCGACTACACGAACTGGGAGAATATTCAGGCACCTCACATGTAGACAAGTTCTGTCTAAATGTCTTGACGCCTGACCTCAAAGCAGTACCTGCGAGGCCCGACGCCTTGATGAGCTCGTCCAGCACCACTGTGTCTCGCAGGAGCGACTACACGAACTGGGAGAATATTCAGGCACCTCACATGTAGACAAGTTCTGTCTAAATGTCTTGACGCCTGACCTCAAAGCAGTACCTGCGAGGCCCGACGCCTTGATGAGCTCGTCCAGCACCACTGTGTCTCGCAGGAGCGACTACACGAACTGGGAGAATATTCAGGCACCTCACATGTAGACAAGTTCTGTCTAAATGTCTTGACGCCTGACCTCAAAGCAGTACCTGCGAGGCCCGACGCCTTGATGAGCTCGTCCAGCACCACTGTGTCTCGCAGGAGCGACTACACGAACTGGGAGAATATTCAGGCACCTCACATGTAGACAAGTTCTGTCTAAATGTCTTGACGCCTGACCTCAAAGCAGTACCTGCGAGGCCCGACGCCTTGATGAGCTCGTCCAGCACCACTGTGTCTCGCAGGAGCGACTACACGAACTGGGAGAATATTCAGGCACCTCACATGTAGACAAGTTCTGTCTAAATGTCTTGACGCCTGACCTCAAAGCAGTACCTGCGAGGCCCGACGCCTTGATGAGCTCGTCCAGCACCACTGTGTCTCGCAGGAGCGACTACACGAACTGGGAGAATATTCAGGCACCTCACATGTAGACAAGTTCTGTCTAAATGTCTTGACGCCTGACCTCAAAGCAGTACCTGCGAGGCCCGACGCCTTGATGAGCTCGTCCAGCACCACTGTGTCTCGCAGGAGCGACTACACGAACTGGGAGAATATTCAGGCACCTCACATGTAGACAAGTTCTGTCTAAATGTCTTGACGCCTGACCTCAAAGCAGTACCTGCGAGGCCCGACGCCTTGATGAGCTCGTCCAGCACCACTGTGTCTCGCAGGAGCGACTACACGAACTGGGAGAATATTCAGGCACCTCACATGTAGACAAGTTCTGTCTAAATGTCTTGACGCCTGACCTCAAAGCAGTACCTGCGAGGCCCGACGCCTTGATGAGCTCGTCCAGCACCACTGTGTCTCGCAGGAGCGACTACACGAACTGGGAGAATATTCAGGCACCTCACATGTAGACAAGTTCTGTCTAAATGTCTTGACGCCTGACCTCAAAGCAGTACCTGCGAGGCCCGACGCCTTGATGAGCTCGTCCAGCACCACTGTGTCTCGCAGGAGCGACTACACGAACTGGGAGAATATTCAGGCACCTCACATGTAGACAAGTTCTGTCTAAATGTCTTGACGCCTGACCTCAAAGCAGTACCTGCGAGGCCCGACGCCTTGATGAGCTCGTCCAGCACCACTGTGTCTCGCAGGAGCGACTACACGAACTGGGAGAATATTCAGGCACCTCACATGTAGACAAGTTCTGTCTAAATGTCTTGACGCCTGACCTCAAAGCAGTACCTGCGAGGCCCGACGCCTTGATGAGCTCGTCCAGCACCACTGTGTCTCGCAGGAGCGACTACACGAACTGGGAGAATATTCAGGCACCTCACATGTAGACAAGTTCTGTCTAAATGTCTTGACGCCTGACCTCAAAGCAGTACCTGCGAGGCCCGACGCCTTGATGAGCTCGTCCAGCACCACTGTGTCTCGCAGGAGCGACTACACGAACTGGGAGAATATTCAGGCACCTCACATGTAGACAAGTTCTGTCTAAATGTCTTGACGCCTGACCTCAAAGCAGTACCTGCGAGGCCCGACGCCTTGATGAGCTCGTCCAGCACCACTGTGTCTCGCAGGAGCGACTACACGAACTGGGAGAATATTCAGGCACCTCACATGTAGACAAGTTCTGTCTAAATGTCTTGACGCCTGACCTCAAAGCAGTACCTGCGAGGCCCGACGCCTTGATGAGCTCGTCCAGCACCACTGTGTCTCGCAGGAGCGACTACACGAACTGGGAGAATATTCAGGCACCTCACATGTAGACAAGTTCTGTCTAAATGTCTTGACGCCTGACCTCAAAGCAGTACCTGCGAGGCCCGACGCCTTGATGAGCTCGTCCAGCACCACTGTGTCTCGCAGGAGCGACTACACGAACTGGGAGAATATTCAGGCACCTCACATGTAGACAAGTTCTGTCTAAATGTCTTGACGCCTGACCTCAAAGCAGTACCTGCGAGGCCCGACGCCTTGATGAGCTCGTCCAGCACCACTGTGTCTCGCAGGAGCGACTACACGAACTGGGAGAATATTCAGGCACCTCACATGTAGACAAGTTCTGTCTAAATGTCTTGACGCCTGACCTCAAAGCAGTACCTGCGAGGCCCGACGCCTTGATGAGCTCGTCCAGCACCACTGTGTCTCGCAGGAGCGACTACACGAACTGGGAGAATATTCAGGCACCTCACATGTAGACAAGTTCTGTCTAAATGTCTTGACGCCTGACCTCAAAGCAGTACCTGCGAGGCCCGACGCCTTGATGAGCTCGTCCAGCACCACTGTGTCTCGCAGGAGCGACTACACGAACTGGGAGAATATTCAGGCACCTCACATGTAGACAAGTTCTGTCTAAATGTCTTGACGCCTGACCTCAAAGCAGTACCTGCGAGGCCCGACGCCTTGATGAGCTCGTCCAGCACCACTGTGTCTCGCAGGAGCGACTACACGAACTGGGAGAATATTCAGGCACCTCACATGTAGACAAGTTCTGTCTAAATGTCTTGACGCCTGACCTCAAAGCAGTACCTGCGAGGCCCGACGCCTTGATGAGCTCGTCCAGCACCACTGTGTCTCGCAGGAGCGACTACACGAACTGGGAGAATATTCAGGCACCTCACATGTAGACAAGTTCTGTCTAAATGTCTTGACGCCTGACCTCAAAGCAGTACCTGCGAGGCCCGACGCCTTGATGAGCTCGTCCAGCACCACTGTGTCTCGCAGGAGCGACTACACGAACTGGGAGAATATTCAGGCACCTCACATGTAGACAAGTTCTGTCTAAATGTCTTGACGCCTGACCTCAAAGCAGTACCTGCGAGGCCCGACGCCTTGATGAGCTCGTCCAGCACCACTGTGTCTCGCAGGAGCGACTACACGAACTGGGAGAATATTCAGGCACCTCACATGTAGACAAGTTCTGTCTAAATGTCTTGACGCCTGACCTCAAAGCAGTACCTGCGAGGCCCGACGCCTTGATGAGCTCGTCCAGCACCACTGTGTCTCGCAGGAGCGACTACACGAACTGGGAGAATATTCAGGCACCTCACATGTAGACAAGTTCTGTCTAAATGTCTTGACGCCTGACCTCAAAGCAGTACCTGCGAGGCCCGACGCCTTGATGAGCTCGTCCAGCACCACTGTGTCTCGCAGGAGCGACTACACGAACTGGGAGAATATTCAGGCACCTCACATGTAGACAAGTTCTGTCTAAATGTCTTGACGCCTGACCTCAAAGCAGTACCTGCGAGGCCCGACGCCTTGATGAGCTCGTCCAGCACCACTGTGTCTCGCAGGAGCGACTACACGAACTGGGAGAATATTCAGGCACCTCACATGTAGACAAGTTCTGTCTAAATGTCTTGACGCCTGACCTCAAAGCAGTACCTGCGAGGCCCGACGCCTTGATGAGCTCGTCCAGCACCACTGTGTCTCGCAGGAGCGACTACACGAACTGGGAGAATATTCAGGCACCTCACATGTAGACAAGTTCTGTCTAAATGTCTTGACGCCTGACCTCAAAGCAGTACCTGCGAGGCCCGACGCCTTGATGAGCTCGTCCAGCACCACTGTGTCTCGCAGGAGCGACTACACGAACTGGGAGAATATTCAGGCACCTCACATGTAGACAAGTTCTGTCTAAATGTCTTGACGCCTGACCTCAAAGCAGTACCTGCGAGGCCCGACGCCTTGATGAGCTCGTCCAGCACCACTGTGTCTCGCAGGAGCGACTACACGAACTGGGAGAATATTCAGGCACCTCACATGTAGACAAGTTCTGTCTAAATGTCTTGACGCCTGACCTCAAAGCAGTACCTGCGAGGCCCGACGCCTTGATGAGCTCGTCCAGCACCACTGTGTCTCGCAGGAGCGACTACACGAACTGGGAGAATATTCAGGCACCTCACATGTAGACAAGTTCTGTCTAAATGTCTTGACGCCTGACCTCAAAGCAGTACCTGCGAGGCCCGACGCCTTGATGAGCTCGTCCAGCACCACTGTGTCTCGCAGGAGCGACTACACGAACTGGGAGAATATTCAGGCACCTCACATGTAGACAAGTTCTGTCTAAATGTCTTGACGCCTGACCTCAAAGCAGTACCTGCGAGGCCCGACGCCTTGATGAGCTCGTCCAGCACCACTGTGTCTCGCAGGAGCGACTACACGAACTGGGAGAATATTCAGGCACCTCACATGTAGACAAGTTCTGTCTAAATGTCTTGACGCCTGACCTCAAAGCAGTACCTGCGAGGCCCGACGCCTTGATGAGCTCGTCCAGCACCACTGTGTCTCGCAGGAGCGACTACACGAACTGGGAGAATATTCAGGCACCTCACATGTAGACAAGTTCTGTCTAAATGTCTTGACGCCTGACCTCAAAGCAGTACCTGCGAGGCCCGACGCCTTGATGAGCTCGTCCAGCACCACTGTGTCTCGCAGGAGCGACTACACGAACTGGGAGAATATTCAGGCACCTCACATGTAGACAAGTTCTGTCTAAATGTCTTGACGCCTGACCTCAAAGCAGTACCTGCGAGGCCCGACGCCTTGATGAGCTCGTCCAGCACCACTGTGTCTCGCAGGAGCGACTACACGAACTGGGAGAATATTCAGGCACCTCACATGTAGACAAGTTCTGTCTAAATGTCTTGACGCCTGACCTCAAAGCAGTACCTGCGAGGCCCGACGCCTTGATGAGCTCGTCCAGCACCACTGTGTCTCGCAGGAGCGACTACACGAACTGGGAGAATATTCAGGCACCTCACATGTAGACAAGTTCTGTCTAAATGTCTTGACGCCTGACCTCAAAGCAGTACCTGCGAGGCCCGACGCCTTGATGAGCTCGTCCAGCACCACTGTGTCTCGCAGGAGCGACTACACGAACTGGGAGAATATTCAGGCACCTCACATGTAGACAAGTTCTGTCTAAATGTCTTGACGCCTGACCTCAAAGCAGTACCTGCGAGGCCCGACGCCTTGATGAGCTCGTCCAGCACCACTGTGTCTCGCAGGAGCGACTACACGAACTGGGAGAATATTCAGGCACCTCACATGTAGACAAGTTCTGTCTAAATGTCTTGACGCCTGACCTCAAAGCAGTACCTGCGAGGCCCGACGCCTTGATGAGCTCGTCCAGCACCACTGTGTCTCGCAGGAGCGACTACACGAACTGGGAGAATATTCAGGCACCTCACATGTAGACAAGTTCTGTCTAAATGTCTTGACGCCTGACCTCAAAGCAGTACCTGCGAGGCCCGACGCCTTGATGAGCTCGTCCAGCACCACTGTGTCTCGCAGGAGCGACTACACGAACTGGGAGAATATTCAGGCACCTCACATGTAGACAAGTTCTGTCTAAATGTCTTGACGCCTGACCTCAAAGCAGTACCTGCGAGGCCCGACGCCTTGATGAGCTCGTCCAGCACCACTGTGTCTCGCAGGAGCGACTACACGAACTGGGAGAATATTCAGGCACCTCACATGTAGACAAGTTCTGTCTAAATGTCTTGACGCCTGACCTCAAAGCAGTACCTGCGAGGCCCGACGCCTTGATGAGCTCGTCCAGCACCACTGTGTCTCGCAGGAGCGACTACACGAACTGGGAGAATATTCAGGCACCTCACATGTAGACAAGTTCTGTCTAAATGTCTTGACGCCTGACCTCAAAGCAGTACCTGCGAGGCCCGACGCCTTGATGAGCTCGTCCAGCACCACTGTGTCTCGCAGGAGCGACTACACGAACTGGGAGAATATTCAGGCACCTCACATGTAGACAAGTTCTGTCTAAATGTCTTGACGCCTGACCTCAAAGCAGTACCTGCGAGGCCCGACGCCTTGATGAGCTCGTCCAGCACCACTGTGTCTCGCAGGAGCGACTACACGAACTGGGAGAATATTCAGGCACCTCACATGTAGACAAGTTCTGTCTAAATGTCTTGACGCCTGACCTCAAAGCAGTACCTGCGAGGCCCGACGCCTTGATGAGCTCGTCCAGCACCACTGTGTCTCGCAGGAGCGACTACACGAACTGGGAGAATATTCAGGCACCTCACATGTAGACAAGTTCTGTCTAAATGTCTTGACGCCTGACCTCAAAGCAGTACCTGCGAGGCCCGACGCCTTGATGAGCTCGTCCAGCACCACTGTGTCTCGCAGGAGCGACTACACGAACTGGGAGAATATTCAGGCACCTCACATGTAGACAAGTTCTGTCTAAATGTCTTGACGCCTGACCTCAAAGCAGTACCTGCGAGGCCCGACGCCTTGATGAGCTCGTCCAGCACCACTGTGTCTCGCAGGAGCGACTACACGAACTGGGAGAATATTCAGGCACCTCACATGTAGACAAGTTCTGTCTAAATGTCTTGACGCCTGACCTCAAAGCAGTACCTGCGAGGCCCGACGCCTTGATGAGCTCGTCCAGCACCACTGTGTCTCGCAGGAGCGACTACACGAACTGGGAGAATATTCAGGCACCTCACATGTAGACAAGTTCTGTCTAAATGTCTTGACGCCTGACCTCAAAGCAGTACCTGCGAGGCCCGACGCCTTGATGAGCTCGTCCAGCACCACTGTGTCTCGCAGGAGCGACTACACGAACTGGGAGAATATTCAGGCACCTCACATGTAGACAAGTTCTGTCTAAATGTCTTGACGCCTGACCTCAAAGCAGTACCTGCGAGGCCCGACGCCTTGATGAGCTCGTCCAGCACCACTGTGTCTCGCAGGAGCGACTACACGAACTGGGAGAATATTCAGGCACCTCACATGTAGACAAGTTCTGTCTAAATGTCTTGACGCCTGACCTCAAAGCAGTACCTGCGAGGCCCGACGCCTTGATGAGCTCGTCCAGCACCACTGTGTCTCGCAGGAGCGACTACACGAACTGGGAGAATATTCAGGCACCTCACATGTAGACAAGTTCTGTCTAAATGTCTTGACGCCTGACCTCAAAGCAGTACCTGCGAGGCCCGACGCCTTGATGAGCTCGTCCAGCACCACTGTGTCTCGCAGGAGCGACTACACGAACTGGGAGAATATTCAGGCACCTCACATGTAGACAAGTTCTGTCTAAATGTCTTGACGCCTGACCTCAAAGCAGTACCTGCGAGGCCCGACGCCTTGATGAGCTCGTCCAGCACCACTGTGTCTCGCAGGAGCGACTACACGAACTGGGAGAATATTCAGGCACCTCACATGTAGACAAGTTCTGTCTAAATGTCTTGACGCCTGACCTCAAAGCAGTACCTGCGAGGCCCGACGCCTTGATGAGCTCGTCCAGCACCACTGTGTCTCGCAGGAGCGACTACACGAACTGGGAGAATATTCAGGCACCTCACATGTAGACAAGTTCTGTCTAAATGTCTTGACGCCTGACCTCAAAGCAGTACCTGCGAGGCCCGACGCCTTGATGAGCTCGTCCAGCACCACTGTGTCTCGCAGGAGCGACTACACGAACTGGGAGAATATTCAGGCACCTCACATGTAGACAAGTTCTGTCTAAATGTCTTGACGCCTGACCTCAAAGCAGTACCTGCGAGGCCCGACGCCTTGATGAGCTCGTCCAGCACCACTGTGTCTCGCAGGAGCGACTACACGAACTGGGAGAATATTCAGGCACCTCACATGTAGACAAGTTCTGTCTAAATGTCTTGACGCCTGACCTCAAAGCAGTACCTGCGAGGCCCGACGCCTTGATGAGCTCGTCCAGCACCACTGTGTCTCGCAGGAGCGACTACACGAACTGGGAGAATATTCAGGCACCTCACATGTAGACAAGTTCTGTCTAAATGTCTTGACGCCTGACCTCAAAGCAGTACCTGCGAGGCCCGACGCCTTGATGAGCTCGTCCAGCACCACTGTGTCTCGCAGGAGCGACTACACGAACTGGGAGAATATTCAGGCACCTCACATGTAGACAAGTTCTGTCTAAATGTCTTGACGCCTGACCTCAAAGCAGTACCTGCGAGGCCCGACGCCTTGATGAGCTCGTCCAGCACCACTGTGTCTCGCAGGAGCGACTACACGAACTGGGAGAATATTCAGGCACCTCACATGTAGACAAGTTCTGTCTAAATGTCTTGACGCCTGACCTCAAAGCAGTACCTGCGAGGCCCGACGCCTTGATGAGCTCGTCCAGCACCACTGTGTCTCGCAGGAGCGACTACACGAACTGGGAGAATATTCAGGCACCTCACATGTAGACAAGTTCTGTCTAAATGTCTTGACGCCTGACCTCAAAGCAGTACCTGCGAGGCCCGACGCCTTGATGAGCTCGTCCAGCACCACTGTGTCTCGCAGGAGCGACTACACGAACTGGGAGAATATTCAGGCACCTCACATGTAGACAAGTTCTGTCTAAATGTCTTGACGCCTGACCTCAAAGCAGTACCTGCGAGGCCCGACGCCTTGATGAGCTCGTCCAGCACCACTGTGTCTCGCAGGAGCGACTACACGAACTGGGAGAATATTCAGGCACCTCACATGTAGACAAGTTCTGTCTAAATGTCTTGACGCCTGACCTCAAAGCAGTACCTGCGAGGCCCGACGCCTTGATGAGCTCGTCCAGCACCACTGTGTCTCGCAGGAGCGACTACACGAACTGGGAGAATATTCAGGCACCTCACATGTAGACAAGTTCTGTCTAAATGTCTTGACGCCTGACCTCAAAGCAGTACCTGCGAGGCCCGACGCCTTGATGAGCTCGTCCAGCACCACTGTGTCTCGCAGGAGCGACTACACGAACTGGGAGAATATTCAGGCACCTCACATGTAGACAAGTTCTGTCTAAATGTCTTGACGCCTGACCTCAAAGCAGTACCTGCGAGGCCCGACGCCTTGATGAGCTCGTCCAGCACCACTGTGTCTCGCAGGAGCGACTACACGAACTGGGAGAATATTCAGGCACCTCACATGTAGACAAGTTCTGTCTAAATGTCTTGACGCCTGACCTCAAAGCAGTACCTGCGAGGCCCGACGCCTTGATGAGCTCGTCCAGCACCACTGTGTCTCGCAGGAGCGACTACACGAACTGGGAGAATATTCAGGCACCTCACATGTAGACAAGTTCTGTCTAAATGTCTTGACGCCTGACCTCAAAGCAGTACCTGCGAGGCCCGACGCCTTGATGAGCTCGTCCAGCACCACTGTGTCTCGCAGGAGCGACTACACGAACTGGGAGAATATTCAGGCACCTCACATGTAGACAAGTTCTGTCTAAATGTCTTGACGCCTGACCTCAAAGCAGTACCTGCGAGGCCCGACGCCTTGATGAGCTCGTCCAGCACCACTGTGTCTCGCAGGAGCGACTACACGAACTGGGAGAATATTCAGGCACCTCACATGTAGACAAGTTCTGTCTAAATGTCTTGACGCCTGACCTCAAAGCAGTACCTGCGAGGCCCGACGCCTTGATGAGCTCGTCCAGCACCACTGTGTCTCGCAGGAGCGACTACACGAACTGGGAGAATATTCAGGCACCTCACATGTAGACAAGTTCTGTCTAAATGTCTTGACGCCTGACCTCAAAGCAGTACCTGCGAGGCCCGACGCCTTGATGAGCTCGTCCAGCACCACTGTGTCTCGCAGGAGCGACTACACGAACTGGGAGAATATTCAGGCACCTCACATGTAGACAAGTTCTGTCTAAATGTCTTGACGCCTGACCTCAAAGCAGTACCTGCGAGGCCCGACGCCTTGATGAGCTCGTCCAGCACCACTGTGTCTCGCAGGAGCGACTACACGAACTGGGAGAATATTCAGGCACCTCACATGTAGACAAGTTCTGTCTAAATGTCTTGACGCCTGACCTCAAAGCAGTACCTGCGAGGCCCGACGCCTTGATGAGCTCGTCCAGCACCACTGTGTCTCGCAGGAGCGACTACACGAACTGGGAGAATATTCAGGCACCTCACATGTAGACAAGTTCTGTCTAAATGTCTTGACGCCTGACCTCAAAGCAGTACCTGCGAGGCCCGACGCCTTGATGAGCTCGTCCAGCACCACTGTGTCTCGCAGGAGCGACTACACGAACTGGGAGAATATTCAGGCACCTCACATGTAGACAAGTTCTGTCTAAATGTCTTGACGCCTGACCTCAAAGCAGTACCTGCGAGGCCCGACGCCTTGATGAGCTCGTCCAGCACCACTGTGTCTCGCAGGAGCGACTACACGAACTGGGAGAATATTCAGGCACCTCACATGTAGACAAGTTCTGTCTAAATGTCTTGACGCCTGACCTCAAAGCAGTACCTGCGAGGCCCGACGCCTTGATGAGCTCGTCCAGCACCACTGTGTCTCGCAGGAGCGACTACACGAACTGGGAGAATATTCAGGCACCTCACATGTAGACAAGTTCTGTCTAAATGTCTTGACGCCTGACCTCAAAGCAGTACCTGCGAGGCCCGACGCCTTGATGAGCTCGTCCAGCACCACTGTGTCTCGCAGGAGCGACTACACGAACTGGGAGAATATTCAGGCACCTCACATGTAGACAAGTTCTGTCTAAATGTCTTGACGCCTGACCTCAAAGCAGTACCTGCGAGGCCCGACGCCTTGATGAGCTCGTCCAGCACCACTGTGTCTCGCAGGAGCGACTACACGAACTGGGAGAATATTCAGGCACCTCACATGTAGACAAGTTCTGTCTAAATGTCTTGACGCCTGACCTCAAAGCAGTACCTGCGAGGCCCGACGCCTTGATGAGCTCGTCCAGCACCACTGTGTCTCGCAGGAGCGACTACACGAACTGGGAGAATATTCAGGCACCTCACATGTAGACAAGTTCTGTCTAAATGTCTTGACGCCTGACCTCAAAGCAGTACCTGCGAGGCCCGACGCCTTGATGAGCTCGTCCAGCACCACTGTGTCTCGCAGGAGCGACTACACGAACTGGGAGAATATTCAGGCACCTCACATGTAGACAAGTTCTGTCTAAATGTCTTGACGCCTGACCTCAAAGCAGTACCTGCGAGGCCCGACGCCTTGATGAGCTCGTCCAGCACCACTGTGTCTCGCAGGAGCGACTACACGAACTGGGAGAATATTCAGGCACCTCACATGTAGACAAGTTCTGTCTAAATGTCTTGACGCCTGACCTCAAAGCAGTACCTGCGAGGCCCGACGCCTTGATGAGCTCGTCCAGCACCACTGTGTCTCGCAGGAGCGACTACACGAACTGGGAGAATATTCAGGCACCTCACATGTAGACAAGTTCTGTCTAAATGTCTTGACGCCTGACCTCAAAGCAGTACCTGCGAGGCCCGACGCCTTGATGAGCTCGTCCAGCACCACTGTGTCTCGCAGGAGCGACTACACGAACTGGGAGAATATTCAGGCACCTCACATGTAGACAAGTTCTGTCTAAATGTCTTGACGCCTGACCTCAAAGCAGTACCTGCGAGGCCCGACGCCTTGATGAGCTCGTCCAGCACCACTGTGTCTCGCAGGAGCGACTACACGAACTGGGAGAATATTCAGGCACCTCACATGTAGACAAGTTCTGTCTAAATGTCTTGACGCCTGACCTCAAAGCAGTACCTGCGAGGCCCGACGCCTTGATGAGCTCGTCCAGCACCACTGTGTCTCGCAGGAGCGACTACACGAACTGGGAGAATATTCAGGCACCTCACATGTAGACAAGTTCTGTCTAAATGTCTTGACGCCTGACCTCAAAGCAGTACCTGCGAGGCCCGACGCCTTGATGAGCTCGTCCAGCACCACTGTGTCTCGCAGGAGCGACTACACGAACTGGGAGAATATTCAGGCACCTCACATGTAGACAAGTTCTGTCTAAATGTCTTGACGCCTGACCTCAAAGCAGTACCTGCGAGGCCCGACGCCTTGATGAGCTCGTCCAGCACCACTGTGTCTCGCAGGAGCGACTACACGAACTGGGAGAATATTCAGGCACCTCACATGTAGACAAGTTCTGTCTAAATGTCTTGACGCCTGACCTCAAAGCAGTACCTGCGAGGCCCGACGCCTTGATGAGCTCGTCCAGCACCACTGTGTCTCGCAGGAGCGACTACACGAACTGGGAGAATATTCAGGCACCTCACATGTAGACAAGTTCTGTCTAAATGTCTTGACGCCTGACCTCAAAGCAGTACCTGCGAGGCCCGACGCCTTGATGAGCTCGTCCAGCACCACTGTGTCTCGCAGGAGCGACTACACGAACTGGGAGAATATTCAGGCACCTCACATGTAGACAAGTTCTGTCTAAATGTCTTGACGCCTGACCTCAAAGCAGTACCTGCGAGGCCCGACGCCTTGATGAGCTCGTCCAGCACCACTGTGTCTCGCAGGAGCGACTACACGAACTGGGAGAATATTCAGGCACCTCACATGTAGACAAGTTCTGTCTAAATGTCTTGACGCCTGACCTCAAAGCAGTACCTGCGAGGCCCGACGCCTTGATGAGCTCGTCCAGCACCACTGTGTCTCGCAGGAGCGACTACACGAACTGGGAGAATATTCAGGCACCTCACATGTAGACAAGTTCTGTCTAAATGTCTTGACGCCTGACCTCAAAGCAGTACCTGCGAGGCCCGACGCCTTGATGAGCTCGTCCAGCACCACTGTGTCTCGCAGGAGCGACTACACGAACTGGGAGAATATTCAGGCACCTCACATGTAGACAAGTTCTGTCTAAATGTCTTGACGCCTGACCTCAAAGCAGTACCTGCGAGGCCCGACGCCTTGATGAGCTCGTCCAGCACCACTGTGTCTCGCAGGAGCGACTACACGAACTGGGAGAATATTCAGGCACCTCACATGTAGACAAGTTCTGTCTAAATGTCTTGACGCCTGACCTCAAAGCAGTACCTGCGAGGCCCGACGCCTTGATGAGCTCGTCCAGCACCACTGTGTCTCGCAGGAGCGACTACACGAACTGGGAGAATATTCAGGCACCTCACATGTAGACAAGTTCTGTCTAAATGTCTTGACGCCTGACCTCAAAGCAGTACCTGCGAGGCCCGACGCCTTGATGAGCTCGTCCAGCACCACTGTGTCTCGCAGGAGCGACTACACGAACTGGGAGAATATTCAGGCACCTCACATGTAGACAAGTTCTGTCTAAATGTCTTGACGCCTGACCTCAAAGCAGTACCTGCGAGGCCCGACGCCTTGATGAGCTCGTCCAGCACCACTGTGTCTCGCAGGAGCGACTACACGAACTGGGAGAATATTCAGGCACCTCACATGTAGACAAGTTCTGTCTAAATGTCTTGACGCCTGACCTCAAAGCAGTACCTGCGAGGCCCGACGCCTTGATGAGCTCGTCCAGCACCACTGTGTCTCGCAGGAGCGACTACACGAACTGGGAGAATATTCAGGCACCTCACATGTAGACAAGTTCTGTCTAAATGTCTTGACGCCTGACCTCAAAGCAGTACCTGCGAGGCCCGACGCCTTGATGAGCTCGTCCAGCACCACTGTGTCTCGCAGGAGCGACTACACGAACTGGGAGAATATTCAGGCACCTCACATGTAGACAAGTTCTGTCTAAATGTCTTGACGCCTGACCTCAAAGCAGTACCTGCGAGGCCCGACGCCTTGATGAGCTCGTCCAGCACCACTGTGTCTCGCAGGAGCGACTACACGAACTGGGAGAATATTCAGGCACCTCACATGTAGACAAGTTCTGTCTAAATGTCTTGACGCCTGACCTCAAAGCAGTACCTGCGAGGCCCGACGCCTTGATGAGCTCGTCCAGCACCACTGTGTCTCGCAGGAGCGACTGCATGTCCCGCTGCTGCTGCTGATGCTGCTGCTGTTGCTGCTGCTGGTGCTGCTCCAGCAGCCTCGAGAGCTGCTGCTGCTGGTTGTTCTGCGCAACGGGCATGAGAGAGAACGGGAGAGAAGGGAGGTGTGAGCAGGGAGAAGCGAGGTGAGAGCACTGTTCTGAGGCGTCTCAAAACTGATGCTGCTCCAGCAGCCTCAAGAGCTGCTGCTGTTGGTTGTTCTGAACAATGGGTATGAGAGGGAACGGGAGAGACGGGAGGTGAGCGCAGGGAGAAGGGGGGTGTGTGCACGGGGAGGGAAGAATGGGGAGAGGGAGAGGAGAGGGGAAATGAGACCCACCTGCTGCAAGAGGGGATCAGCCGGCCCCGGGACACCCAGGCTTCCGTGCGACGACAGGCCCCCATGAAATCCGTCATCCCCCCCGCCACCTGCTGCTTTGAGTCGGCTCAACACCCACCCACCTGCTTTGAGTTGACTCACAACTCGACTCACCTGCTGCAAGAGGGGATCAGCCGGCCCCGTGACACCCAGGCTGCCATGCGACGACAGCCCCATGAAATCCGTCATCACCCCCGCCACCTGCTGCCCCTGCTGCTGCTGCGGAGCCTGCTGCTGCTGCTGCAGCAGCTGCTGTTGCAGCAGCCGCAACTGCTGCTGCTGCACTGCCTGCTGCTGCTGACCCACACCCAGCCCAACACCGTCCATCCCACCGCCAACGCCCCTCCCTCCCCCACCTTGCATATCCAGCTGCGTCCAGTTCAGAGCCGAATCCCCCTCCTCACCAAACCGCTCGGAACCGCTCTCATACTCATCCTCCTCGCCCTCCTCCCCGCGCCTCCCCCCGCCCACGAACGCCCCGGACTCGTTCCCGCCTGCGTTCGACGAGCAGTACTCGTTCCCGTGGCTGGGGGACGCGGGAATATCCATGGAAAACGCGCCCCCGCCCCTTCCGCCCGCCCCCATGCCAGCTCCGCCGCCGCCCGCCCCGCCCCCAGCAGCTCCGCCCACAGAGGCGGAACTGGAAGAGTAGGGAAGCCCTATCATGCGGCCGCTGCCAGAGCGACTGGTGGAGGGGGTATGCATGCCCATCCCACCCACACCCCCAACACCCCCAACGCCACCAGCACCGCCACCAGCGGCGCTGGCGCTGCCTATACCCGCGCCAGCTGCGCTGCTTCCCCCGCCCATTAGCGCCATGCCCCCGCTGCGAGCTCCGCCGCCGCCCATACCGCTCACCCCGCCGCCCACGGACGCGGAGAGGTCGTCGACGCTCATGTCGGGGCCCTGGGCGGCATAGATTGGCATGGAGTCCACTGTGCTGTGCCTAGGAGACTGCTGCGCCCGCCCCGTGCCCTGAGAGGTGGGGGGAAGGGGGGTTGGAAAGGAGAGAAAGCAGCGGCGCAGTCAAGAGTCAAGCGAGTCAAGAGAGGTCATCGATGCTCATGTCGGGACCCTGGGTGCCATAGATTGGCATGGAGTCGACTGTGCTGTGCCGGGGGGGTTGCTGCGCCCGCCCCGTGCCCTGAGAGGTGGAGGGAAGGAGACCAAGGGGGAGCGGGAGTGGGGGTTGGGGGGTGGAGACGAGTATTCTGAATCGCTCTTAGGGAAGCCGACAAAGAAGAGGGGGGCGGGAAAGAGGGGGGTGCGGGGCCGGGGGAGGGGAGGGGAGAGACTGCAATGGCGCAGTTAAGAGAGCGCAAAAAGGTCGTCAACACAGAGCGTAAGGCGGAATGGTGGCGACGAATGGCAAGGCATCTAGTGTAGGGCGGTACACAGCAGAGTATATGCGAGGCAGGCATTTACCTAAACCACTTCACGGTAACGCACCAGGACTATGTTCTCGTTCTTTGGATGCGCCTCGAAACAAGAAACGGCTGTTGAGGCGCATGTCGGGGCCCTAGCCGGAATCAGAAAGAGAAACAACCTCTTTTCTGTCATCAAAAGCACTAACCTGAGCCACTTCACGGTAATGCACCAGAACAATGTTCTCGTTCTCCCTGCAGCACGATGGGGAGATCGATGGACAGGCACGGGTGGCGACGGAAAGGATATCGGTCAGCAGTCAACGGGAGTAAGGGGTAGGGGAGAAGGGGAATGGGGGGGGGGGGGGGGGGGGCGGAGTGTTAGAAGCATCAGAGTTGAAACGCGTAACAAGTGATCAAGTGCGGGGACACGCGGGGAGGAGAACAGAGCTGGAGGAAAAGCGATTTCCAAAGCACTACGGGCCTGGGGGTCCTCGCGCGCGTACGACTTTCCACACGCGTGCATCGAGTGGAGCAGGAGTGGCGGGGGGGATGCGCGCACTCACCCACCGGAGTGGCGGGGGGTGCGAGGTTTTGGGGGAGGCGGGGGGGGCATGCGCGCACTGACCCGTCGAGCAGCCAGTAGCAGCGGCGCTGGAAGCGGTCGTCGCTCTCCGCGTGCGCGTAGTAGCAGTGCAGAATGTCCACGCTCCCCGCCTGCCCCGCGCCATGGCAGGAAGACGGGAGACGGAGAGAGCGGAAGAGGGAGAAAAAGGGAGGAACGCATGCGGTGGATTTTGAGTAAAATCAACACTCTTCGCGTGCGCGTAGTAGCACTGCGGGCTGTCCGAGCTGCCCGCCTGCACCGCCGCATGTCGCGCGCGCGCGCGACAAGGGCAATACACAAACTTGGTCTAGAAATTACATTGGCGGCCTATTGGCCCATCTGCGCATGGATTGAAAAGGCGCGAAGAGAGGCGAAGCGAGTTGCTGGCATGCAGCCATTGGGTGCATCAACCCACAGGCAATGCAGCGCCAATCATTATCTTCCTTTCCTTCACTTACTCCTCTCAAATTTTCCTCACGCTTTTTCCTACCAATGCGTTCTCTCCTCGTTCCTCACATTGCATTCACACGCATCATTCAATGCATCCAATCAGCATCGCACACGAATTGCGCACCTTGAGCTTCCGACCTCTGGTGACCTTTCGCGCACCTTGAGTTTCTCGTGCGCCTCGCGAACGGTCTTGCCGTCCTTCTTTTTGCGCCACACGTGTCCGTCGCGGCGGAAGTATCGCACCACCTTCCGATCGAACAGGAACAGCGACCCGCCTGCGCGCAACCGTGCCACGTCATCATCGCACAGCGAGGGTTGAATGTGCGTTAGAATTGCGTTAACCTTGAGGTTGCATTGACATTAGGGTTGACATCTGAAGCGTCTATGTTAGAACTGCGTTAACCTTAAGGTTGCATTCAAATTAGGGTTACGATGTACAAATGGACCAGCATTGTCCGGTCACGATGAAACACGAATCGTAAATCTTGACGAACACACACTGCACGATCAAGACGAATAAGCATCATACGGTCAACACGGAAAACGCGGAGATCGACAATGCAGCGGAGAACGCGGGCGGAAGGAACGAGGGGGGGGAAACGGGGGAGGGGGAGCGGGGAGGAGGGGGGAGCGGGGAGGAGGGGGGAGCGGGGAGGAGGGGGGGGCGGGGCAGGGAGAGGAGGAAGGGGGGGAAGAGGAAGGAGATCCCGCGGTCCAATGGTCAACGATCCTTACTTGGCGGCTTGGCGGGCGGTTCCTGGTTGAGCTGGAACTCGTACTTGCGGAAGTTCTGCAGGATGTTGCACACCTCGACGGGCTTGAGCCATCGCGTGCGCGCCTCCAGTAGCACATGCCCGATGTCGATGTCCTCTGGTGGTCGCGACGCGGCACGGGACGGATCGGAGGGAGATTTCGTGAAGATAAGGCAACTAAAAGAGACACATTCGGTTACGGAAGGAAAAGAATGGCGAAATGTTCAGTAAGACATGCTGACAAAATGATCTGATGGAATTAAGAGCACATTCAGATATCAATGTCGTGAAACTATGTTTAGGGGAATACGAGAATCTTAGCAGGCAAATGACAATGGGGCATGGGGAACATTTTGATTTGACCTAACATCACTGAAGACAAGAGACCAATAACAATCCGAGTTGGATACGGGAGGCCTAATCTTACGAAACGGGGGACGTTCGTTTTTTCTATAGATGGATCTAGGAACGGGGTCGAAACCCTAAAACCTTTTTTCTAAGCAGGTTTGATAGCACTCGGACTCCATTGAGTAGAGCGCGAGAGTTTTGCGTTTAACGAGACCGATAATTGGATCAATTTACGATTATACGCTTCACAGAAGAATAAAAAAAGAAGGCGGGATCCGCCAACGCATTGTAAAACGGATAAAACGGAGAGCAGGCGGGAGGTCGATAACGGGAAACCTTGCCTGTTGGAAAAGGCTGTTTCCGTGTCGCCATGGCGGGTGGTAGTATTGGTGAGTTCCGAGAAGGGTATCAATGTGACGGACGACCTAAAGCTGAATCATGGAGGACAATGGAGCCGGTAATGTGACCACACGGAATCAGGTAAATAAATTAGGCGTGCGACTGATCAGGGACATCGACTAGAAACCACGATCTGGAGATGAGGTCAAGCGACATCGTACGAAGCCAGGAGGAACCCTAGGACAGCGGAGAATAACGATATTAATCGTCCTTTCAGGATCGCGTGAACCGCATGTGTGGGGGAGGCTGTGTTCGCGCTGACCGAAACTCTGCAGTTGGTGAGGCAAGACAGTAGTACTGTCCGGATACGGTGGCGAGAGGGTCTGTCCTGGACTCCTCGTCCTAGCAAAACGCATCAGGTTACCTGCATGGCTGCTGCTACCCTCTCTAAGGGAGTGTCCGAAGTGAACGTCGACATATGCTACAGTTTCGTTGGGGGATGTCGGCGAATTTCCACCCTCGGATCGAGCGTTCCGACCGTCAAGATTCATCGACATTCCCTACAGTATTGTCGAGTTTAGTCTGCGTTCACTTCGGACGGATTATTATACGAATGGTCACTAAACAGAACGCGCTATCACGAATGGTCATGGGGTTATCAAGAACGGTCAATGAAACAGGCGATTCTATCACGGATGGTCACTGGTTATCACGGATGGTCACTCGTCGCCCCACGAGGCTATCACGAAGTCACTGAAAGAAACGCCCGCCCGAAAGTTGAAATTCTCCCCCTTAAGACCTCTCACTGTTACGATTGAGGGACTGTTAGCGCGTTTATTCTGTTTGTCTTTTTCGAGTTGCACTGTGATAGTCTTTTGATAGTAACAGTGGTTGTGGCTGGTGACAACGACAGATCAAATGGTACGTTGAGAAACAATCCGGTGATAATTTAATAACTATCAAATGAGCCCTATATGATGGGATAACAATATAACCCTCTTATTTATATATGTTGATATGCAGTTTGCATTCACAATATGATGGCAAAAATAACCAATAAAACTATCTATGGCAATACGTTGCACACTTATGAATCTAGGCTTCTCTCGTTTTTGTAAATCCATGGTACGCAGTTTAGGTAACCCGTTTTATATTATATGGGGTGTTTGAACTGCCTATAACACAAGAATGTTACTCAGTTAGGCTTCTCCTAGGAATGTTGCGCTTTCCTACGGTTAGAACAGTGCAACTCGAAAAAGACAAACAGAATAAACGCGCTAACAGTCCCTCAATCGTAACAGTGAGAGGTCGTGAGGGGGAGAATCTCAACTTTCGGGCGGGCGTTTCTTTCAGTGACTATTTGTGATAGCCTCGTGGGGAGACGAGTGACCATCCGTGATAACCAGTGACCATCCGTGATAGAATCGACTGTTTCATTGACCGTTCTTGATAACCCCATGACCATTCGTGATAGCGCGTTCTGTTTAGTGACCATTCTTATAATAACCCATTGGTTTGTTGTCCGTGTGCAGTGCAGCATCCGCTCCAACTGGACGACGGAAACGGAACGGGCCTTCGCATTGAACAAACACCACTGCCAAATTTCGCCTGCTTCTCGTAAAGAGAATTCTGCATACACGTGCTGTAAACAACGATTGCTGCCGATATAGAACACAGTCTGCTGATGACAGGGCCGAAAACAGCATTAATCTTGCTGTTGGATTTCATCCCATTTTCAGCTTGGCGAGGCTCCACAGCTGGTATCAAACCTGTTTCGAAGAGGGGAACAATACCCATCAACCGTAAATGGTCAGGGTAGCGGGAAACAAGGTGTCGCTCTGAAATTCACCCGCTAAAAGTCTTTTCATTGATCGCCCCAGGTGAATTTCGTACAAGTTCGACCTCGCGAGTAAATGACAAGAGAAGCTGGGAGTAGGGGTGGCTAATTTTGGAGTCAACGTCGGATTGTTTCTCCCGGTTACAGGTTAAGGTGAAGGTTATATTATGGTCGTAACCAGAGTACAAACATACATAGAGCATGCAGGGAATATGGAAAAAACCCAAGTGCTCAGCAGGAGTACATAGTAAAACACGTTATTCCCTAATCCCATGAGGGATATCCACCAGTAGTTAGATGGAGCGTTCTATGACTGGGTTGCGATTCAGGGAGGGCGGAAGGGGTTCCCGAGGAGCCAGTAAACGCGTAGATCAGGATGGATAGAGGGGGCGCCGTTGGAGTCAAAGTAGATGAACAGAAGGCGGGAGACGGACTTGATGCGCGAGGTAGACCGTTGTTGTTTTTTCCGACCTTGATTGGCCATTCGCCACATGAAGATCTTGAAGGCGATGAGAAATTGGGCGAGGATGAGTTGGAGGATTTCAAAATGGGACGATGTTGAGTCATGAAATTTCCGCTCACACCTTGCGTTCCAAAGAGTCTTTGCTGCTGCTCAGACTAGCAGAATCCAAGGGACGGGTTGTCCTGTTCGAGAGTGAATGGGAAAGAAGCGAAGCTCAGGAGGGGGGGAGCAGCCGAGGTGGCGGTTGGCGACGTTTCTAAGAGCGATGATGACATCAAGGGTAGCCCCGCAGCAGAAGAAGATGTGGGAGAGTGTTTCGATTTGATTAGAGGCGTAGAACTGGCAGCGTTCACGGTATGCTGCAAACTGGAAGCGAGCTCCCGAGGGGAGGGAGCGAGTGTAAACACGAAAGAGGAGATCTCGTTGCAGGCTTGGTTGGTCACTCATGTGAGAGATTGAGGGGAAAAGGAGGAGGAGAAGAGAGGGCGCGTGTCCAGCGAATTTCATGGTCCAGAGGCTGCTGCGAGTATAGGAGGAGGCGGAGGGATGCGAGGCTTGGAATACCTTCTTGAAGAAGTTCAACCGGGAAAAGCAATTTGAGTGGCATCAGGTGGAGCATCTGTGAGAAACGAGAAGTGGTTGAACTATCAAAGATTTGGAGTACAAGTGTGCAACCCTAAAGTTGTGTACCCCCTAAAGGCTAACCCACTATAGCCTACACAGCAATAGCATATGGATAATGTTTGACACACCCCCATAGGCAAAGTGGGGGAGAGCAAGGGGTCACAAGACCAGTCAAGAAAGGCAAAGCAAGCTCAGGGTGGATCACAACGTCACCACACAATCTGAGCACAAGTAAAGGGCCACAGGGCCAGTTTAAATGCAGAGGCATATATGCAACACAAACAGCAAGGTGATCTCAACCTAACAAAACAAACAAGCAGGTATATATATATAGAGATCACAGTACAGACAAAGCCTACAGTAAGTGAGGAACAGTGGGCACAAGCCCCAGTACAGTGCAGAAGCGCTGATGATCACCAGGCTGAAGTGCCTTGGTGAATATATCAGCAGTGTTGGCCCGAGTGGCCACGTAACGCAGACAAAGCTGGCCGCGCTGCTGCAGCTCTCGAGCCAGGAAGTAACGGAGAGCGATGTGCTTTGTTCTGTGCTCCAGTCTGTGCTCCTGACACAAGGCGATGGCAGCCTTGTTGTCGACGTACAGCATTGGAGGAGAACTAGGCCGCTCTCCCAAGTCGGTCAGCAGGTAGGTCAGCCAGCGTAACTCCTGTGCAGCCATGGCTGTGGCGTAGATCTCAGCCTCACAACTGGAGCTGAGAACTGAAGACGAGCGAGTAGAACGCCAAGAAACTGAACCAGAGCCAAGGCTGAAGGTGTAACCCTGTGACGACCGCTGAGTAGCCTGGTCGTCAACCCAAGAAGCGTCTGAGTGCCCAGTGAGGACAACTGAGCGCCTCCCTCCAAGCACGAGCCCCATGCCCGATGTACTGCACAAGTAGCGCAATACCCTCTTTGCAGCATCCCAGTGCACCTTTCGGTGCCTGCCAGGAGCCACATAGCGGGCCAGAAGACCAAGAGGGTATGCTAGGTCAGGACGAGTGCAAGTCATCAGGTACATGAGGCAACCAACTAGCTCTGGGTAAGGACCACTCGGCTCTACGGACTCATCCGAAGGCAGAGCTGAGAGCGAGTGACCTATAGCCAGAGGAGTGGCCTGTGCCGAGGACCAGGTGAAGCCGAAGCGCTGAAGGACCTGCTGCACCATGTGTGACTGAGTCAGTGTGATGGTGCGGCGTGCTCTGTCCCGGTTGATCCGCAAGCCAAGATAGCTTGTCAGCTCACCCAGATCTGTGCACGTGTGTCTCTTCTGCAGCTCCGACTTCACGTGGGCGAGAGCCTCAGTGTCAGCAGTGGCAAAGACCAAGTCGTCGACGTACACGAGGATGTAGAACGGCGGCAGTGAAGTGTCGGTGCGCAGAAACAGCGACGGGTCGGCAGTAGAAGACGAGAACACAAGAGCCGCAAGTGTAGTCCTCAGTGTGTCGTGCCACTCACGTGGAGCCTGGCGGAGACCGTAGACCGGCCGCCGGAGGCTCCACTGGGTACCAGG